CAGAAAAGGTTCAATTTACAATGGTACTGAAACATTGGTGACATATGAACCATAGAACAACACTTCATTTGGGATAAAGCTTTTCTCCACACTTTTAGAGCCGGTAGTTTAATCAGCCTGTATTTATAAGTTCTGTAAAATGTCTGCAAAAACCAGCTCGTCTATCAACAAAAATGCGTCCCTCCAGTTTTATGACCCTCCCAAACTCAATACTTTTATATTATGAACTGCCAAGACAACCGCCCCAAATATTATGAAAACCTACACTTGTGCAAGTGACACTGCTCCCTAGCGGCGTTGGATCCAGAGTGAAGCCAAGGTTCGCTGTTCTTTCGATCGACAGCTGCTCGGGAAACAACCTTGACTACCATTTATTCAAAATTTCACAGGGCCTCTTAGGTTATCCCTAAGACGACCTGAAGGCGAAAGCCCAAGCTCCGATCCCGGTGATAGCTAACCTCCGAAGACAGCGCGCTCTCTGACGACGCACTTTTGGCGTCGTTAACCTCACGGCATGTCGCACGCCCGCCCTTCACCATTGCCCGAGCGAGAGTGTCCTCCTCTTCCACTGGGTTTGCGCCGCGCGCGCGACTCCGCCGATTCTGGCACAAGTAACGCCATCTCGTGGTCCAGTGGCGAACCGTGAGTTTTGGTACCTTTAGTGTCGTCGACGTGTTTTCGTACTTTTGGTGTCGCCGACGTGTTATCGTACTTTTCGTGTCGTCGACGTGTTTTCGCTCAAGGACTTTGAAGTTCGAGTGAACGATGAGACATATAGGGCTTTCGCCTTAATATAAACCCAGACTTGTTTTTCGGCGCAGATTTTTAAAATTGGAGATCAACCTACCACCACGACAAAAAAAAAATACAACAAAAAAACAGACCTGGAATAGTACTGGGCATAATCACTGAGCCTATTGCGCTAACCAGGCGCTCACCCATGTCAGCCGCTACTCCTTGTAGCACTCCGGCGCAAATCTGTGAAGCTCGATAAGCAAGCGCTGAGAGGTGGCACGGAGGCATGCGGCAGACGTGATAATGAAGTTATCTCATCAGGAGTACAATATCCCGGTTCTGTCTGATCACAGCAGCCGCCATCCTACAATTGGCGATGTATTCTCGCAATTTTCGCTTCTCACATCGCCGACATCGCCTGGAAATTGAGACAACGACGGCAATCAATTTGCCAGCGCATCAACCCACCAGCGTGGTTGACGAGCGATCTCATTGATTCGTTTCATTAAAATGCACCACTGCTATTAGCCAGTGGTACCAACCAGCGTCAAAGCGCGACATCGTGGCACTCGTCTATCTTCCTGTGCGTGGTCTTTCATCGAATAAAAAAATCAAGTGCAGCAAATGTACAGTGAATCGCGCTTTTAGTATGTGCTTGTCACATACATCAAACAAATTAAACGGTGAGTAGATACGCTGCGAAATACATATTAGTACAACTTTCATTTTCCCCTACTTTTCAAAATATTGAAGTCGACCAATAATAATTATTATTTTATTTTTTGCTTTTCACATTTTGGTGCAGGATCAATGCTTAGCAAAAACAGCACTTTGGCGCAAGGTGCAGCAGCCTTTCGTTGAAGGCGTGGCACTTCTATCACTGTACTCGCAAACCAGCTCGAATAGGGTCAATATATTTGTTTCTCCTGCGGTTAGCCTATCAGATGAACCCTGAATTCAGAAACACAACCTTTTGTCGTTTCCCCACCAGCTGCTCCCTCGTCTTCTGCCATTTGACCGCGGCAGCACGGCGCCACGAACTTGCCGATTATTTCCAGGTGTATTTTTCTTCACAGACGCACCCCGCTCTGCTTCCCGGGTGTGTATTTGTAAATGATAGGCGATACGCGGCATGGCAACGCCACTCGCACCGGATTGGCTGCTCCTCGAAGAGGACGCTGCGATATAACACGGCAACAGGTGGTTGCTGCGCCGGCCGGCAATGGGCGTTGCGCGTGTATCACTATAGTAGTTTTCACCTTAAAGGAAAAAAAAAAAAAAACGGAAGTTTTGCTTTGCGCATTGTTAATACGTCGCGCGAAGCAGCTCTTAAAAGATTTGGTTGTTGAAGGAATAAGCCATGCTTTTGGCGTTTGAAACGTGTGCGTTTTAATAGGATAACATATATCTAATCGAAAATGCATCTACGTATATCTTAATTCTCTACATAAAGGAGGAAATTAGTAATGGTAAGCGAAAAGCCGGACTTACCTTACTCGGTTCTGGAACTGAAACCGAGCATAGGGCGGGCGCGCTTTAACCTACCGACCTAAATAGGAGGCGAGCAGGAGAGGAGGAGGGGCATAACCTCCTCTCCGTACCTGCCCCTTCTCCTCCTCAAGAGCTGCGCTCTAATTCGGCATTACAGGGGATTATAAACGTCTTTCAATTTTTTGTGCCATTTTATATCGTTTTTTGGCAAATTTCTGAATGACTCTAAGCCGTGTTTACTTGAAGTGTTTCATAGCATTTTTTTTACATGGAAATATTTTATTGGGATTTTTAACATTCTGTGTACCTTAATTCGTTGTAAATCTTTTATAAAATAAGTTCAGAAAATATTACTATATGTGCACGCTTCGGTGTGAAATTGACGGCCGTGCAAAGCATCATAGTGAAACTTTGGCAATCTCCACAACTCGAGCTTCAAAATATCATGTCTCCGGAAGAGAGCCAGATACAATGTTCACACATAGTTGCATATTCCTTCCAAGAATGTGGCTTTCACATAAATGTTTTACATAAATATGAAAAAAATGACCTGGACCATCATTCTACAATCCGACGTAAAAAAACTCGCGATAAAAAAAAATTAAAGCCGTTTACTACTCCCTGTAACGCCGAATTAGAGCGCAGCTCTTGAGGAGGAGGGGAAGGTACGGAGAGGGGGCTCTGCCCCTTCTCATCTACTGCTCGCCTCCCGTCTAGGGGAAACTTTTCCGCTAAATACAGGAAAAAGAAAAAAAATTCCCCGCTAAATTTAGCGGGAAATTTTTTCGGCTAAATTTAACAGGGAATTTTTTCTGCTAAATTTAGCGGGAAACTTTTTCTGCTAAGTTTAGCGGGGAAAATTTTCCGCTAATATTAGCGGGAATTTTTTTCCGCTAAATTTAGCGGGGAAGTTTTTCCGCTAAACTTAGCGGGGAATTTTTCTGATAAATATAGCGGGGACAATTTTCCACTAAATTTAGCGGGGACAATTTTCCGCAAGATTTAGCGGGAAAATTTTTCCGCTAAATTTAGCGGGGAAAAGTTTCCGCTAACTTTAGCTGGGAAATTTACCCATCATGCACCGCGCGGTTACGCCGACGGCGACGCCGCTCAAGCCGGAAGCAAGCACCTAAGAGCTGCGCTCTAAAAAAAAATGATAATACAATAGGCCCTATAGCCGCAGTCACACTGCTTGATACATTGCACAAAAGACGTGGTGCTCGCTGCCGACATAACAGTTATTTGCAGACACACATCAAGCATATTCGAAGCATGTTTGCTTCATGCACATGTATGCTTTGAACATGTCTGAACCGTTTTTGTGTGACCAATGTGACTGTCATACTAGGAAGAAACATGCTTCCGACTGTCTTTTGTATGATGTATTAGCTGACGAGAGCTTAAGCAGTAATGGAAGCGGCATTATACTCTGTTTCATACTTAGCGTGCAACGCTGTCAAAGCTACTGGCGCGAGCGCGTGGCTTCATCTTTGGTTTTGTTTGCTCGAGAACTCGTGCAAGTGATCAACTAGATCAAGCCCCACGATCGTGCCAGTAGCTTTGACAGCGTTGCACACTAAGTATGAAACAGGGTATAGACCTTTCGTAGCAGGCAAAGTATTAATTTGGAACAGGTACCGACGTTTTTGGAGCATACGCCATTTGTTAACCCGTCACTTGAAAATGAAGCTGTGATTATGTCGCTAAACGAGTTTATATCTGATAATGATTGAGGGTTCCTCTTCGATACTTAAGTATATTACTTATCGTTTGTACTAAGGGGTCTATATCACATGAGCGTATGACGTTTTAGCGAACAGCGGTCTTTTGAGCGAATCTACGTTTCAGCAAATTACTGGGGCACGCGTTAACACCCCGACCCCCGCTCCGTTCACGCCGCCTCGAGGCGGTTCTTTAGAAACAGATCTGGCCCGCCCGTAATCGCTCCTTTGCGGCGGCCGACCATTCGCTAAAGTGTCTTTCAATGAAAACTCGGCGTTCACTAAAACGTCGTTCGACCAAACTACTGCCACCCATCCACAATGGGTATTTAAAAAGTGGATGAAAAATTAGCATGGTGCAACGCTTCAGTTAACATAAAGCCTCTCTCTCCCTCCCTCTTTTACACTTGGTAATTGATTTATACTACAAATATTCCTGTAAAATTTCAGCAAAACTCAACATATCCACTAAATGTCTACCCCCCCCCCCCCCCCCCCCCCTCTCTCTCTCAAGGTTTATGGACACCAAACTCCAGATTCTAATTTCACAAACTGAAGACAGGCTGGCGCGAGCGGCACAAATGCCACGGTACACTTTAGCCACGGCGTGAAGGCATGTGGCAGACAATGATCATGTGATATCAGGAGTAAAAGACCTTGTTTCTGTCTTGTCACAGCAGCCGATATCCCATTATTTTGCATTTTTTCTCGCAACTCTTAGCTAAGGGAGACTGACATTGCCGACATCGTCTGGAAATTCAGACAATGACGGAATCAGCGCTGTTGACGAGCGATCTCTACCCTTTTAAGGTGAAGCACAGGCAATGCTACAAGCCAAGGGGACCAATCGAACCGCATTAAAAGTGCAACATCATGGCATTCGTCATATATCTTTGCGTGCTCTTTCATCAGCTAGACTAAGTGCAGCGAATGCACCTACACTTACACTTTTAGCACCACTTCGCGATAGTACGCGCTCGAGCCTTCAATTGTGCGTTGGCCCAAGAAGAAACGAATAATAGTGGATGAATTATACAGTGGATGGTAGACACTGTCAAATATATATTTATATCATTTCCACTTCCGTCTACTTTTCTAAGCATTAAAATCAACCAATAAAATATCTTTATTTTTTTTTGGCTTTGTTTAAGCCTACCTTGGCTCGTGTGTAGCACAATTTTTAGCAAAAATGGTGCTTTGGCACAAGTAGCAGACATTCATTCATGGCACAATTTAGCGCAAATGGCGCAGCGCTTCGGTCACTGCTTAAGGAGCAAGCCACAATAATCACTAAAATACAGCAAACATAAATATATAAATGATTGATAAAGCACAAAGGGTATACACTTCAGGAATTTTCTTTTGCAACCTTCATTACAGCATGTGTACATGGCCGGTTTAATGCCCCTATATAGCAACCACACTGTCTTCTAATTGCTTGTATGCTTAGGGGCAAACAAATACAGCTTGGATTTTACATCCTCCGACAAAACACACACAAAAAAATAAAAGGTACCAATGAACTGACATGTGTAACCGTTTTTATAGGCACTTTCTTTATGATGAACTAAAGAGGGCACTTTGACCAGTATGGACTGCTATTGAGCACACCAGAAAACTTGCAAAACAGAATGTCTTATACTTGCTTCACGGAAGTGCGACGAGATCTCTTCTGCATCAAAAACAGTCAATACCAATGCCACCAAGGGCATATTCACAAGCAGGAAACTTTATATTAGAAAAGCATTGTATCCCCTTGGTTACCAACGTTAGTGATTGACCCACACGAAAGGATGTCTCAACATTCTCTATACTGCTTACATACTGTGTCTGAAAGTAAATTATTGGTATATACACAGGTTGACTGCAATGGCCAAGACAGTTCATACAGAAGGATAATTGGAAGGCAGAGGAATAAAGAGGTTGGCGAGATAAACAGAAGACCGATGACAAACTAATCTGCATGCCATTGCTATATGATGTCAACATCGACACTGAATGCCATAAAGAGAATAATTGTTGCATCAGCTACTGGCATGAGCCAGTGACATCATCTATACTTTGTTTCACGATAACTTGACGAACTGTGGAGGCTGTTTTCACCGACATAATTTCGTTCACCTTTTTATTGTCGTGAGCTGCCTGGCACGTGCCGAAAGCGATCATTCCAAGGATTTACATGACCCCTCATATGCGTAGAGCATACAAGCATATAAGTCTTACCGCACTGACATCTCCTCAACGGGTTGCGATGTAATCCTTCAAATTAGTAAACTTGTTTGAAAAAGCAACCTAACAACAAAATGGCAGATTGACGTTGTGTGAAAACACCCTATAAGGGTGCCAGAGCAAGGCACGTGATAACAATCCATGGTCCCCGCCACCGGGGCCTCATTACCATCACAGCAACAAAGCCCTCCACGACAAGTAGTAGTTCTAGGCTTTTCTTTTAACAGCAATTGAACTCGCACAATTTCATCTATAATGAGAAGATATGAAGAATAAAGAATAAATAATAAAAATTTTACGAGTTTCAATTATATTTAAACCAAAAAAAGTGACACCGCATCTGTATCCGCTCAATTTTTTTCGCCCTGTAGCGCCATGGCTGTTGACGATCACTGCCATGTAATTGGCTGTTTACACTCAAAACATTGCACTGTGCTCTGGCATTAGCACTCGTCAGATTCGCAGCTAGATTGAGCGCATGGTTGTCTCACGAACTGTTCCTGAAGTGCTTGCTATTCTAGTAGACAGGTATGTTGGTGGGGCAGACATTCATCCGAAGTTGCTTGGTTTTAAAGCAGAAAACTCTTTGCTAGCAGACGACAGCTGGTTCCTCCGGGCCTCGCGCCTAGCATTTAGCGTGGTAACACAAATGCTCCCGTAATGTGGGGTCAAGTGCCTCGCTCTTATTGGGTCGTGGGGCCCTAGCCTCCACAGTTCGCCAAGTTATAGTGAAACAGAGTATAGTGCAGGGGTGGCCAGACTGACATGGGGTTAGAGCCACAGACACAACTACAAAAGTTTAGAGAGCCGCAGGTAAAGAAAAAAAGAAGGGAGGGGGGCTTCTTTTAACAAGAAATGATGTGGAGGGAAGTCCTTTCCAAAGGGGACAAGTATGATTGTTAACTACAACAAATAACACCAGGCAGCAAAACCTCCCTTCAACCGCTAAGCAAAAATCACTGCATGGTTCGCTAGCCAGCCACTGTCCCCGATGCCCGTCATGCGTATACGGTTCGAAATCCTTTCTAGAACAAAAAAGGAAACGGGGTCATGAGCACATCTATGTGTTAAAAAGCCATCCAGCTGTATGTACAGTGTAGCAGTGCAAAGCTGCCAAGACAGTGAGCTTTTTTAAAAATAATTCTAGAACTCTTTTTGTCTTGGGGACAGAGGGGAGGGAAGGGGGGCACGCTTATCAGGGAGCCGTGAGTCGCATTTGGACTCAAGAAGAGCCGCATGCGGCTCGCGAGCCACAGTTCGGCCACCCCTGATCTGGTGTCTCATTGGTGTGAGCACATGCACAGATCAAACACCAAATTAAGACACAGGCTTGCTCCAGCAGCTTTGCTCTCCAAGAATGAAACAGAGTGGAATTGGTGTTTACCAAACTCGCCCAAAACAAATTTCTTTCACACCTTCGTAATCACACGCACTAAAGGGTGCATGTGATTACGAAGATGTTCTGTGCATCACTGAGAAAGCACCCTACATGCCAAGTGGGGGATTATGATGATCATAAATCAAGTTTTTCTTTTTTTCGAGCAGAAATGAGGTGACATCTGGCTACACCGTTGCCTGGCTTCTCCGGTGTCCTTCCGAGAAATCACTGAGGGACATACACAAAGTGAACACCACACGGAATAGCAAGTTTCCGTACGACACCAACCACACGAGGCACTTACAACGCAGAACTGTCCTCGCTGAAGTAGTCGAGCTCCACATCCAAATCGGCAAGACGGTCTTCCTTCTCTTTCACAGTCCGCAAATGACGTTCCAGCTCGTTTAAGTTACCCAATAAGTTCTTCACCACCCCATGAGACTTCTGCTTCGCTTTGGGCGTCGATGAGGTGTAAGGCGCACTGGTCTGCTTCTCGATGGCGTGCACTATCTCCTCCGCCGCCCGGAACGGCGACGACGTTGCACTGCACAGGCTGACCACTGGAGAGTTCTTCCAGGGGCTCCCGCAAAACGATCCGAGCTGAGGGGTCCTCATGCCGGCTACCATCAGGCTGTCTTCCGCAGCCTCCCGGGGGTCTTTCCGAAACAGAAAATCGGAGATCATCCTCTTCGGCGACGGGACCAAAGACTCGTAGATGTCGTCGCTCGGAGCCGCTGCAGCCGCCAGTGCCTCGGCCACCTTTCGCAGTTGCCTCTTGCGCTTAAGGGTTCCTTTTCCCGCTGTGACGGCTGCAGTGGCCAAGGACGGCTCAATCTTGCGTAGGAAAGGCGCTGGCTTTCGCCGCGCCGCTGCCTTGGTCCTCTTGCTAGCCGTCGACGTGGTTAACAGGATCCCCGCAGATGAGCTTCTATCTCCAACAGTCTTATGTTGCGCCTTCGGACCGGTGATAGAGCTACATCTCTCGGTAGCCTGATTTACCGACGGCGGTTTTTCATTCCTTTCCTTCGAGGCTCTCAATCTTCTCTGGTTGACTGGTGTGGCTGCATTTTCCCGACGCGAAACTGAGTATAGTTTATTTGAATCAGTTCTAGAGTTCGGCTTTTTCGCGGGTTGCGCAAACTTTCCTTGTGAAGTCTTCTTGCCTCTCAGTTTTGCTGCAATGAGCACCCTGACCTTTCGTTGAATTGGGCCTTTGGTTTTGCCGGCCGTTTGGGATTGCTTCTTCGAACGAGTAATTGTTCCACCCATCTCAAGCACACTTTTTGCCGTGTTTTTTGAAGCCGTTTGCGTTCGCTGTTTCTGTGCGGTTCCCTGGTCTCGCTTCTGCAGTGCTGCAGCTTTCTTTCTACGCTCTGTAGTGCATTTTCTCCTTGGCCTGGAAGCAGAACTTACCTGTTCGCTCGCCCCGTTTGCCCCTAAACATTGCCTCATCTTCGGTTTCCAGGGTGTTTGTTTTTCTTGAGGTGCTCCAACCACACTTTTCCCCACTTTCGCAGGTGATGTTCCAGCTGCAAGATCCATTTTGTGCTGCTTATTTGGACCATCAGAATGTTTAGGTTGGCTCACCACCTTCAAAGCTGCTTCCTTCTCTTTTTCCACTCGCAAGTCGGCTGATTTGCCTGCAGCACTGGAACTTCCAGCCTTCTTCTTTGTTTCTTTCTGCTGGTTCGCAGCTGTTAGCCAACTCCCTTCTGCCTTCTCAGGCAGAGTGCCGCTTGTTCCAGATACTAAATCTCTCTTCTTGGGGACCCTCTCACTGGAACGAGTTCTGGTTTCTTCCTGCAGGTGTGTGAAACGATTGCTGCTATTTACAGCACTTGGCGAGCTGAATGAAAGCTCTTTTGTGACCGTAGTGTGCTTACCAGAAGTGCTCCTTTTCTCGGCCAGTGTGTTCTTTTGCCTGGTGCCCCTTTTGGTCTTGGCGTCTTGAGTCGCGCTAGAGCTCGTCTGCATTTGGACTCTGGATCTGGCGTTCCTTGTCACAATCTTCTTGGAATCGCCCTTTGAGTTAGCATTCTGACCCATCGTTTTTACTGGGCTAGAGTGGTTTCCAGCAGCACTTGAATTTGGTATGGATTGCAACTGTCCTCTTTCAATGGTGCTTCTGGATCGGGATGGCATGGTGGCTATGAGTTGGGCTTTTCCAAGTTCTTTCGATGTGGTTCGTCTAGGTTTGTGCGGGGCAGCGCACTCACTTCGCTTAGGTGTTTTGTTTAGCTCAGTTTCTTTGTTAGTATCACTAACACAACGGACTTGGTTTGCTGTGTGCTCCCTCTTGGCAACTTTATTTTTGGCGATCAGGGTAGGGGTTCTTCGCCTAGACTGTTTGATTTCTCCATCCTTCAAAGTATGTAACGAACCATGCGATGACATGCTTTCGCTTCTGGCCTTGATTAGCTGACCTCTGGTGAGACGACCTTGCGCTACTTCCATCTCCTCAGTTCCATCTTGCGGTGCATGCTTTTCGTGCACAGCGGGTTGCGCTTGCAACTTCCGTTGGTCGGTCGGCACAGTGCGCGATTTTGTGGCGGTTGCCGGTGCCTGCCTTGTGCTGCTGCGACGTCCTTTCGAGAAAATAGTTTTGCTGACCACATTGACTGGTCGTGCAAACGTTTTGCTCAAAGTGACCTTTTTGCTAGGTCGCACATCGAGTTTCTTTTGAGACTGTTCTAAATGATTGTCATTGTGTACCGGACCAGAAAGGAAAGGTGAAGGTGTTCTGCCAGTTGCTACGACAGAACTTCTAGCAGCACGCACTCCCTTGACTGGTATGGCAGTCCGCTGCCGCAATCGGTTTCTCGCCGGAAGGTTCTCCGTTTGAGATTGAGTGGAAGCTTTTTTCTTCAAGTGTCCTGAACCATCACTGCCAACTTCAGATAGGCTCAAAGAGCCCCGGAGAGATTTGTCATCGTACTTAGCCCTAACGGGGCCACCACTAGTCATGCACTTCCTTCCTGCTTTCGTGAAGTCAGTCTTAGGTTGCACTGGTCTCGGTTCAGGGCCCGGGGAGTGAACTCGCAGACCACCTTCGTCTCCCTCAGACTCCAACTCTGATGTTACTAATTCTTCGGTGGAGGAACGGCTCCTGCCCTTTGCGTTTTTTTTTCTGGCCCTTGTAATCACCTTCAGCTCAGCAGAGTTCTCCTGGAGACCTCGCTGTTCACCGAGGACCGCTTTAGACTGAGCAACCTTGTCTTTCCGAGAGTAGTTGAGTTTACGGCTGCTGTCCGTGGTACCGGAGATGAGAGCTGGAGGGGTGGCTTCTCTTCCCACTGCAGATGAACCCCTGGGCCTGCTCCTTACTAGAACGACAACAGTCTGTGGTTGCTTCCTTGCTGTGAAGTTGTTGTCCCTTTCAGTCCTAAGCGAGCTTCTTCTGGTCACAGGATTTTCTTTATCTTGCGTGGCGCCAATCCTAGATTTCAACGGTCGTTGCTTGGAGGTCAACGACTTGGCTCTTGGGTCCCTTGAACTCCGACAGGTTTCTGGCTCTGTTGTTAGACCCTCCTCGATACTGTGACCGCTGCTGCTGCTTGGGTGCCGTTTTCTTTTGATTGACATCATCTTCGTCAGCCTCATCGAGTGGGCACGGCTTTCCTTAGGACCTGTATGTGTGCTGGAAACGCCCCTCGTAGAACGTTGAACAATGCCACTCTTCCAATTGTTGCCAGAACTGTCGCCACTCTCTTGCGAGTTGCTAGAGTGGTCATGCGAAGACTCTCCATGTTTACCAGCCAAAAGAGGACTTCTGGACCTAGCCTTTTTGTCTGCTCCTACGACAAAAGCCTGCAGTTTCGTTTGCTTTCTTGCTGCAGGCTGCCGTGATTGAGGCTTTGTCACATCTTTGATTTGGAAGAATGGAACATCATCACCACTGCCTTCCAAAGACGTGGTAGCATCATGGGAAATCTCGTCCTCTCCTTTAATTCGGGAGATCTTGTTTTCTGGCTTGCGACTTCTTACTTGTGAGTGAACATTTCCTGTTCTCGGTAGCTTGCCTTCTACAAAAATCTTGGGCACCTCCGACTCCAAGTCTAGTGTAGTCTGCTCTTCACTTCTGTCGCTGTCTCTCATACGCTGTTCTTTTGTGTCAATATCTTGCCTCCTTGCCAGTCTAGCTGGCTGAGCACGGCACCTTCTAGGGCATGTGTTTTTGTTGCGACTGCACCTCCTAACACAATCATTTTCTTTAGAAACTTCGAGGTCGTCACTGCTCTCGTCCAACAAAGACGAAGAACCAGACAGAGCTGCATTTTTTTTCTTTGCTCCAACATGCATGCTCCTGGCCACTTGACTCTTTCCAGCTTGCAAAGTAATAAAATCACTGGATCGTCCTCTTCGCAGTGGGCTCCCAGACTTTCTCTGCTCGTTTCCAGAACTGCACTCGGATTCTTCCCATTTCGACCGTTGTGACTGCACTGGCAACCACCCTTCAGAGCTGTCACTGCTTGCTGACTCCTGCTCTGACAGCACCTTTGTACTCTTTCTTGCTAGTCGGATGCGACACCCATTAACAGACAGCCGTTTACTGGGAATGTCTGCCTTGCTGGATTGAGACATTGCATTCCTCTGCAAGTGACTGGGTTCGTCGTCACTGTCGTCAGGTGAATCCGATGAATACTGTGAGTAAAGTATGCTTTCTCTCCTGGCTTGAAGGGATTTGCGTCTGTCAGCGTAACCACCATGCGGTTCAGCAGGACTTCTTGTCTGCAAGTTCTTCGCGCCAGACCGGAGTGATTCGGAATCTTTTGGCTGTGTTGCTGCTTCAGACTTTCGACTGCCGCTATTGCTGCTCTCATGCTTCCTTTTTGAACCCAAAGTCTTGCTCATTTTGGTCATGTGTTGAGAGCCCTCTCGGTTTGTAGAAAGGGGCCCTTTAACAGATTGTGCCGTGTCTTTTTCTTGCGAACATTCCGAATCCCTGACACTGCTTCTCGAGCTGCGCCGTGGTGAACCTTCCCTTCTGGTTGCTGCCGCTTTAGAATTTGTGAGGCGATGACACCTCTTTCTCCTGTCGTTAAACAAGGGACGAGCGTGCTGCTTTTGCTTAACGCTCCTAAGCTGGGTTCTCCTGTCTCTTGAATTAGTCAGCGATTCTGTGTCTTCCATTGATGTGACAGAGCTGGATTCTTCCCAACTGCTGCTGCTTTTCTGCTCCACTATTTTCAAATTTCTAGATATGTTCTTGACCCCCGATGAATGAGGTACCTGCTTTTTCGTAGCTCCGAGCCTTCTTTCTAGGGCAGGTTTTCGTTTGGTTCGGCTTGTGTCGTTCTTTTGCTGACGTTTGAATTTGCCGTCGTCCCTATCCGACAGCTCCTCTCCTGTCGCTGGTCTCCTGGGATGCGCCTGCCCACTTGCTCTTGCTCGAATGTTGTCTGACTTGCTTCTTGAACTTTGAAGCCTGAGGCGTTGAAGTCTGCGGCCGCTGCTCGTTCCCCCGTTCACGTTGCGCTTTGCCCTTGTAGACATCCTGCTGGATGGCCTGTTACTGATCTCTGTAGATGTGGAGGATGTACTATCAGAGGTGAACTCCTCCCACTCACTGCTGCTCTCATGCGACGTCAACTCCGTGCCCGTCTCGGACGGAGGGCGGTATGAGGAATCATCGCCTTCGGAAGCACCGCTAGGGTGCACGTCTTCTCTGGCAGCGAGCGCGGTACCCGCGCCATTCCGTCGCCCTCGTACGGCGTCTGATTTAGTTGTGAGGATGTCATCCATAAATGTGTGCTTAGGCTTGCGCAGCTTTTGTATCTTCGTTTGCGGCTCATGCTCGTCGCTAAGCGACTCGGACTCGGAGAAATCGGGGAGTCTAGGCGCCACCACTGCTGCCGTGCTCTTCAGAGGGGTCGACGTTTTGATCCCCGGAAAGTAGATTAAGCACTCCTCCAATCTTCTGAGGACTACACTGAGTTCTCTCTTGGTAGGGGAGCGAGCCACGGATGTCCGTTCGAGCCCACTAACTTGCTGTGCGTGCTTGGTGGCAGCTTTTGGTTTTCGTTTTGCCCCCATGACTGGCGGCGGATTAGAACGAAAATCCGCTTTGACGCCTTGAGTTTCTTCGAGAATGGCAGGTGTTTATGCACGAAAAACATTCAACATTTTGCGCTGTTGTTCGGACTGGAAGCGGGCTCGACAGACCGGTAGTTCCGACTGCAAATAAAAAGAGCGCCATCGCTACGGCACGAGATATACGTGGAACGCGAGGAACGAATTTAAAATTACACATGTTTGACAGAGGCCTGTTTCGTTGGGACCAAATTATGAGAAATAAAAATATATCCGTCAACTAATACCTAAACGAATGAACGTTATTCTTTCTTACCTGATATTGTCATGTCTTTGATCTGCGATTAACGTTCGCCACATACATAACAATCAAACTTCTTTTTCTTTTTTCAGAATGGATAGATGGGTGAATGGTAATGCATACCGTTTGTAACGGGCGGCAGCTTGCGCCACCTAGCCGAACCCTTCGTCATCCTTTCTTTTTTTTGTTCTAACACAACCCCCCCCCTCCCCCCTTTTTAAAGTGTGTCTGTTGCTTATTTTTATCTGCACTGTTACCCCTCCCCACATCTTTTCCAGCAATCTTCCAATCTCCTCTTAGCGCAATTCTTTCCCTGTCCAGTCGTCCATCGCAAATGTCAAAAAATAAATTTTGCGCAAAGAAAAAAAAAAAAGAGAGAGAGAAAATGTTTAGAGCAAAATTGACGGCGAGATATTTATCTAAAATTCTGTGCGGCAAAGTTCGTGACATCACGGAATGGTAATTTGCTCGATGGGCTCAATGAGCTGGTAATTAGGGGTGTAGCGAACCGGCCGCGGTTCGAGTTCGACCAGGTTCGACTTTTTCGAACTTTTAGTAGAAAGTTCGTCGAACCTTGTATTGAGGTTCGACTCGTGTGCGCATGCGCGACAGGCTGGCCAGTTGGCTTCGGATTGGATGGTAATGGCTAAGAGATGAATTAAGTGCAGCGCTGATCGGCTATTTCAGTGAATACAGTACTAAAATTTAAGTTATTAACCTCTTCAGTGAATAGAATTAGTTTCTTTTAATTGCAGTTGTTCACACAATAAAACAACCTTTTGCATAAAAAAAGAAATTCTCCAAACTTAGACATGCCTGTATCAAGGTCTGGCCACACTGTCCACAAAGTCGAACCGGTCGAAACTGGTGAAAAGTTCGAAGGTTCGTCGAACCGGTTTGACCCAGTCGAACCCCGAAAGTTCGACCAAAAAATCTGGTTCGACAAAAGTTCGCGACACCCCTACTGGTAATTCGCTCTTTCCACCTCTACGTGAAGGCGAAACCGACTCTATGGAAGCCGATGATTGAGAGCATCGAGCCGATCCACCTCTCCTAAATGCCGAGAAGACAAGTGAAAAGGAGGCGACTACCGACTAAACCGCGTCCGTCAATATTGCTCTCAAAAAAAAAAAAAATTTTTTTTTCGCGTAAAATTAGTTTTTTGACATGTATCCCAACCAATTAAAAAAAAAAAAAACTTTTTTTTTTTAGGGAGCCTTTAAAGAAATTTAGGAATCCAGAAGCATTGAAAACTTAACACCTGAAATAATTGACTCAAGCGCAACCCGCATTCCCACTAAACTCTACAGATCACCCACACCAGGTCACGCTGTCTCACATCCTCGGAATCTTAGTATTAACATCTACTGAACCCAAGTGCTAAAGGAGACAACCCTACCACATCAAAGAGTTCTGCTAAAGGGGTGTCCAAACAGGACACTACAAAGCGCACAACTCCGACAAACCGTGAAAATTGAAGCGGACGCGCCCGCTTCAATTTTCACGATTTGTCGGAGTCGTGCGTTTTGTAGTGTCCTGTTTGGACACCCCTTTACACCGCTGGAAGTAGCTTAAAGTCTAGATATTGGTTATTCCCGAAATCAAATGCTTTACCTAGAAAAAAGAAAAGCTTTCTTTACAGGGTACACGGAAACCCAACTGAACTAAAATTGAACCATTCTTTTCGTGCAGTTCTTGGCGTAACATAGCAGAGAAAAGGACCACAAGTCTTTTGTAAATGTTTATTTCACACAAGACACAGCACCAGCTTGAAATAATAAGCATGGGAAAAGAGGAAAAAAAAACAGTCAGATATACACACAGACTGACCTAAAAGCTATTGCTACCATACACATTGAAGCCTCCTCTACTATAGGTTTGGACGTGCTGCTTGCGCACGTTCTGCGCTTTCAGCAAACCACCAACCGAACAGTGCGTACAGAGAAAGCCGAGTTCCGTCTCGCCCGCACGAAGCATAAAAAATACTTTTAGAAGAAGGCGCGGGGAGACTGCCCCCTGTCGGTACTTATCGGCATCCAGATTCTCTCGCTCGCAGCAGACCTCGTTAATTGTGAAAAAGGATGGGCGGTTTTTTTTTCGGCCTAGCTTCGCGCAAGAGATTGCCTAGCAGAAAACGGCAACTCTAGGAAAACTGTCTCTACCCAAGGACTATGCACACAGACAGCAATTTGCTGGGACGCTCCCACAACGCGGCCATGAGTCAGGATACACGTGTACTTCGATAACGGCAGTGGTAACGTCGGAGGTTTGCTTGGAATTTCAATACTGCTGCCGCGGCACACTTGGAACCACTCTGGTGACCTTCAGCGGCACATTCCTTTCTAAATGCGTGGCAACCGTATGCCAAACGGCTCTGACCCATCGCCGTTTTAAGTTCCTGACCCAAAATCGTTCCAAGCTCCCATACATACGACAACTCTTCACTTTTGCAACACCCAATGAACACATGCAGAGTCTCTGGATGAGGAAAGGAGAAAGTTCTACAACACCATTTTTTTTCCCGTACAACTGCCCAGTTCTGCAGACTAGTCAAATTACTTGGCGATGTTGGCATGCAGTGCAACGCTCATCCACCGACCACGTGTCACAAGACATCCAGACAACTATCTCGCAAAAGCTGCTTTGCATTTTAACGTAGCGTACTGCGGCAACGGGCGGTGCTTGTTTACACGAGATTTGCTCCAGCGTTTGCATTTGCAACGGGCCTCTTGTCCTAAGAGCTCCTCCTCTTGTAGTTATGGATGGCATCCAGAAATTGAGCAGGCAAGGCAGCATTCGCAACACCCACTGGTGATCCCCAATACTCGAGGGAACATTCGGGGCATCCATGCGGGTGCACAATCAGAACCGCAGCCACGTCGACAACCCCCATCACACTAGAATTGCGGGAGTCGATGGGTGGAAACTAAGGTTGTTGGAGTTGCCCGGGTCGACAAGCAGAAGTTCGCAGCCACACAGGGATGCAAACTCTCAGAAAGCTAGGTAAGCAAGACAAAAATTCCTTTATTAAAGGTGATCCCCCCCCCTAAAAAAAAGTGAGTTTTAAACTCCAGCATGCTTGAAAGAGGAAAACAAGCACACCCAACTTGACGTCAGACGCAACACATCAAATGAAATTTGTGGCCTATGTACAGCAAAATATGGTGCATACTCGGTATTCACTGCATTGAAGTGACACTCAAGCTGGAGGAAGACAAAAAACTGAGAAGGGAAAGCACGGCATGCTGTTTCACCAACCGGCAGATCAGCACAACGGCCTCTAAATGGGCACGACCAAACTTGTGCAGTTGACATGCAGACACAAAAACAAAAAAGAAAGGCCCGCAAAGCAACAGTGCGAAACTTGACACTTTGAAAAGCAGGAACGGCTCACTTCAGAAGCCGTGTGAGCTCCTCCCCGGAGCTGGCAGGTAAATCTGGCATTTGAAGCCCGAGTGTACGCTCGTACAAATCCTCAGCCTAAAGAGTAGCATGCGTATGTATAATATAATAATATATAATGCTCTGACTAATTATATGTACATGATTAGCGCTGCTTCTTGCACGTCTTGTGTAGCCCTCAACAGAGACAAAAGTAACGAAGGGACGACTTTTTAAAACTATGTACGGAACGTACACAAGCCTTTCACGCAGGAGAGAAAGAAACCGGCAGCACTCTACTGGACGGGAAACTCCCGACACAAAGAAGGTCTGAATGTTCCTCGAGCAAGCACGCCAAAGCGAAGCGTGTGTCGGTTAAACAAGGGTTGGAGCACGGAGCTTTTCAAGGGAGGGCATTCTTTTTGACTGGGACCGTTGCAAAGCTCCTGCTGTCGGTTCACATGGCCGCCTGGGCTGTCTTGGTGTTCTGCACAAGTGACAAGGGGCACACATCAACCGTCAGTGTTTCGCGAATTCAGGGCAATTCGCAGGAAACCCCAAGTTTTGCTCTTTTGCTCAAATGTCTGCAATTTGCACTCTTTTTTCCTTGGAAAAATAATGCACTTCAACATTCACACTTACGAACACGCTACGGGTGCTATAACCATATTTTCCTCCGCATCCAATGTATGGGCCGAAGAGAAAAATTTTGGTCGAAGAAATTAAGTTTCATTTTGGTGCTTGGCTCACACTCTACACAGCAAAGACTCATACCATTACTGCTTTATTAGCTCATACCTGTATCAGACAAAAATCATTATCATATCAGTTAAGCACAAAATTCTTGTTACAATAAACAATCTTGACAATCTTGAAAAAAAAAAAAAATCCTCGTATAGTTTGCATTCATAGGTAGTCTGCTCTGCCTAAAATTTCAACTTATATACAATAAACACAACTCGGGTAAAAAAGTAGAAAACAACAAACACCAAAAGGCTTGGTAAACATCGCATTTACTGTTTCCCCTTGTGCCCGTAATTTTTGTTTTCTCAAGCCATACGTATGCAATCTTCAGTCGCCCTTCTACTGGTAATCTCTAAGCATAGCGAGAATGTGTCAGCATTGCTGCAAGTCATCGTACGCTGAGCGCTTTCAGATATTACTAACATGTTTTTCTCCTCTGGTTTGGGAATACTACCACTGAAAGACTACTTAATATTGTAGAAAAATGATTTCCCTCTTGTAAAGACAGCGGATCACAAAATGCATTTTGTTTTGTTTTGCTTCGCTGCCATCTCGCTTGACATACCATTTAATACCACCCACTAAAACAAGCACCGGATTTCACTCTGTGTTGTCTTGCCACTGACACTGAGACATTATAAACGTTTTTGAACAATCCCTGTCAAATTTAGCTGGATAGTTCTCTCGCTAATAGAGAAAGAAAGGTCAAAGGTAAAGTGTAACGGCTCGCCACGTGACATCTCACACAAACTTGCAAAGTCCAGGCCATAAACAGATGCACTGACGGCACATTTCTCGCACATAAACAAAATTTTTAACGCCTCAGACACACACTTCCTGAGCTACTAAATCGCTAGCCATCACTAGGAATGATGTCAACCAATTCGACGTACCACCGAATACAACAAAAGAATAAAGTCACAACACCCCCCCCCCCCCCCCCCCCCTTCATGAGTGCAACGCTCACCCATCCGGTGATGTTGCGGTCCTTGCTGCAGGCGGTGCCCACGTTCACCCCAGTCAGCTGGTGAACCATGCTGGTGGTCTTGGTGATGATGTCAATCACCTCCCCGGTGAGCTTTCCTGCACCCACTTCTCCCTTGCCGGAGGACACCATGACCACCCGCTTGCACTGCGATATGGGTGCCGCCACTTCCGCCGCCACCTGCCGGGATGCCAGTGGCAATTATAGCCTCAAACTAGCGGTGCCAAACTTGCCTAAACGTACGTTTGAAAGCGGTATTTGGGGGTGCTGGATTGCCTTCAAATGAGGAAATTCAGACTGCCTCTGACCGAATACATGTGCCGCTTAAGCAAGTTCGTAAGTCAGGTGAAAAGTCCGAACACATAGCTCTTTTCTTTTTTTAATGTGAAAGCATTAACTGTCCCATGGAGCGAAGCCGGCATATTCTGTAGCACTGAAACGAGAAATAAGTCCTCACTGGCTGCAACGCATCATGTGCCGCTAAAGGTCAAAGTGGAAGTGCCTCAGAAATAAAACACAAAGAAAAGCACAGCAATGCAGATGCTTGGTCACGGTAACCGGCGCGCCGCTCAAGGTCAAAGCAGACGCGCCTCAGAAATAAAACACGAAGAAAAGCACAGCAATGCAGAGTGCTACAGCTATGACTGTAGCGCTCCGCTGCATGTGTGAACAGGCCTTTATGCTTTTGCATTCCTACACGTAAATAGTCTTAAGTGTGTTTGTCTAATTTTTTTTTTTTTTTTTACAGTTTGTTTATTTTCTTTTTGGACAGTTTATTCATTTGCAGATCTGAATACGTAATAGAATCTAAAACACCTCTAGAATAAGAAAAAAATGCCCACGCCCCGCCCACGCCTCGCCCCGCCCCGCCCCTGTTTTAAAGGTTACTGCTTCTGCTTGGCGCCGGCCTGATCCCTCAAGAGGACCAAGACAAAACAAAAGGATGTCACAGAAGGTCTCGGCCACCGCACCTTGGGCAGGGTGTCCAGCATCATGTCAAGGATGGCCGCCTCCTTGTACTCGCGGAAGGCGTCAGCCTTCTTGATCAGCTGCTCCGCCTCTGCACGGGCCTTGCTCTCGATTGCAAAGGCCTCTGCCTCTCCCTTCAACTGCACACCACAACGAGCAAACCATCATGATGGGAACCACTGCTAAAAAACGTTTGCAATACCAAAACGGAACCTCTCTACATCTCTGTAGTAACAAAAAAAATATATATATGAAGAGACCAGCTGGGTTTTTGGTAGAAACAATGAGGTGCCGCTAAAGGTTATAACCAGGGTACAAAACGTAGGTGCACAAAGTGCAAGCAAATGTGTGAACAAACCCGAGGGACAGATAACAATGTAAACACACGCAATATTACCTTAAATACAGCTGCATTTGAGACTTTGCTGTGTGTGTGTTGTAGAGTGTAGGTACTAAAACTGACACCACTTTTTAAGGCCTGGCCCGGCGAGAGGCTGAGAAGTTTAGCTTGAGAAATATCTAATGCTATAGTTATATGGGCACTCTTAACCGCAGTTAAGTGTGACTGAGCTCAGACTTAACTGCGGTTAAGGGTGCTCGACAGGCATCCTAAATCCTAAAGCAAAGTTCTGCTCAAGTGTGGTTAGCAATTTTTGGCAACTACACCTTTGTTACATGGGCACCCTTGACCACAGCTAAGTCTCACTTCAGTCAGACTTAACTGCTGTTAAAAAGACACCGACAACCTCTAAATCTTTTTTTTATATTTTGTTAGGCGATTTAGTATGGTGCCAGAAGACCAATCAATATTTTGCTAATTAATATTTTGCTACAGAGTCACATACATTTTTAACAAAGCCAAGAAAACACAACTGCTCAAAGTTGAAACGGAAGCGCAAGGCCAGAAGTCACGTGGCTACATCTGACCTCATTTTTTTTCTGTGCTCCCTTGGTGTGTGCAGCAGATGGCAAAGATGCCTGCATCGTTTGCCGTGCGACTGTTTAGCATCTATACACCAACTCAACTCTTACGTCGCGCCACGGTGGTTGCCCGGCGGGCGCACTTCCGGTCTGGGGCTGTGAGCAGAAGTCGCAATGCGGGACGGGCATTCCTGTGTTGTTTCGAAAGAAACCAGCCCAAAACCTGCTTTTTTGTCAAAATGCCTGCGACTGGGTATGTACTTAGAGAGCCAAGAAAGGTTTGAAGATCAGTTTTCAAGTGTTTCCTGCCTGCTCAGTTCACCCGATAACATGAATACTTGCCATGAAAAAAGAAACCAGACACCGTCAGACCATGACTGCTTGAGCGGGAAGCACTCAAGTTGAATTCATGAATATCTCTGGTCGTCAGATTTATTTTTGTTGCACAAACGCAGGAAATACCGTCAAGTTGTCCGGACCAAGTTTAGTGAGTCTTCACATTCAAACAGCAGTCTAATTGTTCAAACTGTTGTCTGCTCTATCGAACTCCACTTAAACTGTCTTCTGTTTGTTCAAATGACAGCGCCAGTAGACCTAACATTGCAACAATTACAGACCTCAAAAGACTTTCTCAAGTTTGAAGGTTGCTTGGGGTAAGTAGGCTCGGTTTACACAGCAAATACAATTAGATGTTAATTGTTACCTGTGTCTATCACCGACTTGCTACGCCTGCTGCCCTTGGTTCAATTCTGCTTGCAATTTTCAGTGTCGACGTCGAGCATCGCAGCTGTCATACATTTCTGCAAACTGAGCGACATTGTGACTGAAAATAGTGAGCAGAGTCTCATCATGTAAATCAGGCTTCAGCGCCCATTCTGCACCGTTCACACGGAATGAATCGCTGGACGTCACATTATTTACACAAAGTTTTGCGGTGTAACGAGCCTCGTTAATTTCGCTCGGGCTAATAAAGTAGTTAGACATTACTAGGAAGATCTGGAATCAGCAATTCCAACGCGAAAAAAAAGCACGGGGACTCACACTGACGCCGACAGCATCACATTACAATGGTTTTTTAGTGCAGGATGCAGAACTCCTTGCTTGCACCCCAAAAAGCAAGCGCGGCGCCGGTGGCGTGCCACTAGGGAAGCCCCGGTTTGTTTGTAAACGTGAGCTGGTGCATATCGCTTCCGCTCGATGTTCTGCGCTTGAAGATTGATTGGCCAGTACCACGAGCAACAGTTCCAAAGTAGCGGCCCCACGTCCGTAACAAGGCTGGTCCTTCGTGCGCAGCGATCGCGTCGTCCAGCCCGCGGTATGTCGCTATATTGAGAATGACGTGTACATGTACTTCTTGTAATCTGCACAACATTTTTTTTTTTTTATTATTAACATATTTGCAGTTTTTTGGATGCTACAAAAATGGGGCTCATATTCTTTTTTATTTTGAATATTGAATTGGTGGCTTAGATGACCAGATCACCCACACACATAGTATGAATGACACATGACCATGGAAAAGAGAGTGAGCGCAAATGAAACCGGCCGAATCTCGGCCGGCTGTTTTCAGGCGGAAAGAGAACTAATTTCGAGCAGCAAATTGTGCTCCGGGTAGTTGGGCTCTTACAGGTCATATTCAAACAAAAACCTTGGCGAGCATAAATACCCCTTCAGTGTCCCCTTAAGGGTGCCCTGTAACTAGAGTATTAGAGGGCTATATATGCTTAGGCACATGGTTTTTGTTAATCAGGAGGGTAAACAAATTGAATTAGACAATTGTGGCGGGAAAAACAAGATATAGCAGCTCATGTATCGCTGGGCCCGAGCTTTAGGGCTGGCCCGGGCCTGGGCTCTAATATGTACTATGACCACAGTTTCAGGGTTTCATTCCGTACTTCCTAACTCAAGTAGTTCTCATTAAGTGGAGCCCACTCATAACAGACTTCAAGGTTTCACAAAACATGATGGCAGTTTGTTACCACACTTGCACTTGATAGGCCTTGCTTGAAATCTTTGGGTTTCTCTATCACTGCACAGTGTTACTTTTGTTCAGGCGTTGCCACACAGATGGGATGGGATAAGCACAACGTCAGGCTAACTTTCCCTAGACGACAAATGACTGAAGTACAATGGTGGATTTTACCGTAACAGGTTCATGTCCACTCCATTGAGGCTTCTGCAGTCCATAAAATGCCTGTGATAGAGCTCGTTACCTCACACAGTCAGCTTGAGAGTAAAGTGGAAAAGTTGCGAGCTAATGCTCTTGCATCCCGATAATAAAAAATGGAGCCTGCATATTTAGCACCACTCATATAGCCCTTTCATATAGCATTAAACTTGCTCATAGAGTGCTAAAGCAAGTGGAGAGAAAGTAGATGTTGTAATACTCACGCGAAGTGCCTCTGCCTCAGCTTCAGCCTCCATGATGACACGATTCCTGGGACCAAGCCAGACTCAAGTTAAGGCTTGCATTACATTCCAAAAAGGACAGCAACATTTTGTCATTTTACACCCTTCTTATCATTGGCTTGTTCACTCTGGCAAAGGGTGACAACCTCTATATAGCAACCCTGGAGAATGTGCTGCAATTCAGTCTGCAAGCTTCTCTTTGTCTCCTGTTCAATACATCCCATTTCAACCTCATAGCACCATACTATAATCATTTAGGAATCCGAATTCCAAAATTGGGGAGCTTTTAAATTTCAATCATATAAATACATTTTTCTGGCTAGTGCTTCTTGAATTCCCTTCCAATTTATTAGAAAACACAGAAGCCTCGCTACGTCAGCAGAACCCCCTTGTAGCAAAGACTGATGTAGTAAAGATATGAATACAGTTCAGAAAAATTTAGGTCAGCTTGCTATAACTAATACAGAAACTAGAGGAACTGACAAAGTGAAGATACTGATACAATCAACCTTTGGTTAGTTGAGCTTGACAAAAAAGACGAAAATTTAAGCAAACTTCTAACATAAACAGAATGTTCAAACCACGTCCGAGAAAAAAACCCTTGAATTCGGCTTGTTTTCATCGACACTTACAGACCGTGCAAAGCATGCTCTGCAAGTCAACAATGCATCTAACCACGTCATCAACATTCCCCTTGCAACAACCAATGGAACTATTGCATCAGTGGTGCCTGGCCTAACAGTTCCCCCCCCCTCCCCCCTTATCGAAGTTATCACCTTCTTACACCCTACTGGGCCTAAATCGGTTGCACAATTCAGTGCCTGAAATGGGCGGTCTATTGTAAAATCCCGTAAGCCTTCCCACGAGAGAGTGCCCATCCCATCTTTCTGGCTAAATATCCGCAACATAAAAATTCAGAAACATCGCCCACCCCGGTTCTCATCGGACATCACGCAATGTACGACAGGAATTGCATCAACCGTGCGATTTGTGGTACCGGTATGTCAAGCGAGTTTATAACGGGTTCCCGCATTTTTGTCCATGATCTGCACGCGCAATATCGGCTCCAGTAACAGGTGAGTTGTTCATGCGTCTTTATTGCATCATGAAATGCGAATCTGCTGCATCCGCGATCTGCGGAATCCATTCCCTGCATCTGATCGTTCACCGTTTCTAAGCAACCCTAAGCGCCGCGCGCCGCGCTCTGGAATGCATGCACAACACCAATAAACAGTCTCCGTTAGTCTGGACGTTGGGCTGTGCAGTCGCTTCTTCAGCTTGACACATGGTATCAGAAGTGGGGCCCCGTCCTCATCGTAAGCAGAAATATGAGAGACCTTCCACCGCTGAAGCCGTTGCAGCTGGGTGACAACGCAGCTGCATCTTGGCAGATAAGCAACGAATCAAACCGTCTCTCCGAGCAACGGAACCCACGAAGCTGCGTAGCGAAGAACAAAAGGCCTCCATCTTTTTGCACACCGCAGGCCAGGAAGCCATTGACCTGTTCAACATGTTAAATTTGTCTCCTGAGCAGCAGAACGGCTACGACGTGCTGGTCAAGACCCTTGAGGACTACTGCTTGCCCAAGTGAAACTAGACCTATGAACGTTACGTGTTTCGCACGTGTTGCCAAGCCGAGGGTGAGCCGTTCGAGCAATTTTTCCGGGACCTACAACTCAGAGCCAGAACATGCAACTTTGCAGAGCTAAAGGAATCTATGCTCCGTGATCAGATCGTCTATGGAACTTGGAGCACGTCGCTACGTGAGAAGCTGCTAAGAAAAGAAAAACCTCAGAAGTGGCTGTCGACTGCTGCAAGGCCAAGGAGTGTGCTGAAGCCCAGAACAAAGCACGAAACGAAGACTCCGCCAAGATTGAACCAGCTCAAAAGAAGCAAGTGCCGTTCTTGCAGCTTATCTCACGAGCTAAAGGAATGCCCCGCGTATGGGAAAATGTGCTTCAAGTGCAAGAAGCTGAATCATTTCGCAGGCTGTTCCAGGAAGAAAGCGACCATTCAAGGCATGGCCGAAGGCAATGAGAGTGACACCAACGTCAATATTCTCAAATCTCGACCCCCAAAAGCAGCTGGAGCAGCAGCATCACCAAAACACACATGGAAGGAACTGAAGTGCAACTGAAAGTCAACAAGGGAGTGTAGGCATACCTCCTCCACAGCAGCCTCGTCGCACGAAGAGCGTTCTTCACCGCTACTCGGGCGGCGAAATTGCCCATAGCGGAAAGGTTCATCTCTTGGTGCAGTTCGGCAAATGGCGTGTGCAGCTCGACTTCTTTGTGGTAAAAAAGAGGCAAGCCATCCTGGGCCTCAGAGCAAGCGAACAGTTGGGATTTGTGAACAGAGTGCACTCACTGGCTAACAAGTTGCCCAGGCAATGCGCTGAGCAGCAATTTCCAAGTCTATTCGCCAGTATTGGCAAAACGCGATGCGTGTGCAAGATAGTGCTTCGATAGCATGCCGTACCGGTGGTGCAGCCAGTCCGGCAAGTACTGCACATGCTCAGAGAGCCACTTAAGGAGGAACTGGACTGCATGAAGACCAAAGGCATCATCGCTGAAGCCAAAAAGCCATCCAATTGGGAGAGCCTGTTGGTCAATGTGCGCATGACGAATGGTAAGCTTTGCATATGCATGGACCCCCCGAACGCAAAACCGGGCGTTAAGGAGAGAACATTTTCAGCTGCCACGCCAAGAGGAAATTGAGCGCATACTAAGTATTTCAGCCGTCTTGATGCGAACAGTGGCTTTCATGAGATCTCCCTCAATGCTGAAACATCTGAAATTTGTGCATTCTGCAGTCTCTTGGGTCACTATTGATATCTCGGGTTGCTCGTCGGCACTACGTCAACGCCTGAAGTATTCCAAAGCACAATGACCCAGATATTTGATGGCGTCTCTAATGTGCGGGTGTGCATCGAAGATATACTGGTGTGGCGTGGAACACAAAAAGAGCACAATGAGTGCCTTCACAAGATGTTGGCAAGGGCTGAGACTGAGGGACTAATGCTGAATGCGAAGAAGCGCATCTTTGGACAAGAGGAAATCAGTTTTCTTGGCGACAGGATTAGTTCCAAGGGAATTGAATCGAACCCAGACTTAGTGAAGAGTGTTGTACAGCACCCCATCCCCACATCAAAGAAAGAAGTTCAACACCTGCTTGGTGCAGTGAACTACTAGTTCGGGAAATACTTGCCGCACCTATCGTCCTAGACTGAGGCCTAGCGCAGCCTAGTTAGGAATAACACTCTTTTTGGATGGACCCATCTACATGATCGCAAGTGAAAGCAGGTTAAAGAAACGCTGACTCAAGCCTCAGTCTTGGCAGTCTATGACCCTGATCTGCCAAATGAACTGTCAACAAATGTGTCTGCATTTGCGCTTAGGGTTGCGCTTCTCCAACAACATAGACCAGATTGGAGCCCAGGTGGATAAAAATCGCGAGTGCTCGCAGAGACAGAACGCCGATATGCCCAGAAAGAGAGGGAGGCGCTGGGCATAACTTTTGGCTGTGAGAAGTGTAATGACTCCATCCTGGGAAGACATCTGGTCATCGAAACTGACCATCATCCACTACTGGCAATCTTAAAAAAAAAGAAATGGGAGAAATGCCGCCACGTCTCCAATGTCTATTTTTACGATACGGTTTTGAATCGCGGTTTGTTCCAGGTGAAAAGCTGGACCTTGCCGAAACTCTGTCGAGAATTCAATCGCAGCCTTCCCTGGACGAAGATTCGACAAACGTCGAAGTGCATGCAGTGGATGTCTTGTTCTCCGTCGCGGACCGAAAAACCCTGTCCCGCCTTCAGGAAGTGACCGCCAGCGATCCCGCTCTCCAGAAAGTCATCTTCTATCTGCAATCGTCAAGGCCTCTTGAAGGTGAGATGAAGCTATTTGCACCAGTACTTTCACTGGTCAATGGAGTGCTTCTAAAGGGAAACAAACTAGCATCTCATCAACCATACAAAAGGAAATGTGGCGACGACTACATCAAGGACATCTAAGGTTGGGCAAAAGCAGGCCTAGGGCCAAAGTTGAAAGCTTGGATAGTTGGTGTAGGCTAAACATAATGTAGGCAAAACAGCGCAGAACGACAAAGACTAGAGGGAAGGAACAATCAAAAGGGGACAGGCGCCTGTCCCATCTTGATTGTTCCTTCCCTCTAGTCTTTGTCGATCTGCACCGTTTTACCTATATTATGTTCAGGTCTAGGGCCCGAAAGCTGATGCATTGAACGGGAATGGCTGTTGATGTAACAAATTTCATCCACAGGTGCGACACCTGCAAGAGGTTTTCCCACCGACAGCCTGATGAGCCTCTGTCCCCCCGCGCCATTCCAGAGCACCCATGGGCCAGGGTAGGTGCAGACCTGTTCCAACGTGCCGGAAAACACTACCTGGTTGTATACGATGCTTACTCAAATTCCCTAGAAACAGTGCACCTTAGAGTAACAATTGAAACAGTGTCGGTTGAAAGGCTCTCCGAAATATTTGTTCGGAATGGCATACCTCTAGAGCCGAGTACAGACGGGGGACCACAGTTCACTGTGAAGGAGTTTAGTGAGTTTGCTTCACAATATGATTTTGTGCACACGGTTTCAAGTCCCAGGTTTTCAAGGGCTAACGGGCTGGCAGGAGGAGTTCAAATGGTCAATCGCGTCTTATGCAAGACAGAGTGTGCCAAAGAAGACTTCTGGTTGGGCCTTCTCGACTACCGGGCAGCTCCTCTTGAAGATGGCCGATCAATGGCAAAGCTCCCGATGAGACGGGGATTACGGACACTACTTCTAGAATCCACTGCGTTGCCTACGTCTCCCGTGAGAAAGCACGTACAGAATGATACCAAGGGGACACACCTGGCTCCTCTCCGGACAGGCGACATGGTGTGCATTCGTGACAATGAAAGATGGGGTCATAAAGCGCGAGTGCAATACTCCGTAACCCCAAGGTAGTATACAGTCCTGACTGAAGATGGCTGGATCTTTCGCCGCAACCTGACAGCACCTCCGGAAAACACCTGAAGTGTTCGGCCCTTCCGGTAGCGACTCGAAGGCAACCGGCGACAAGGATCAATCCCTGTTGTCATCGGGAGAGGAACCAGAGCAGCATGACCCGTCGCAGTCCTTCCAGAACACCCCAGCAATGGACCCCCCAAGTGCACCAGATCACGCCTAAACATCACCCCGTCGCAATTCCAGCCAACCAAGAAGGCCACCTTGACAGTGTCATTTGTGACTCTGACTCTCTGGGTTTACTGCCAGTCATCTTTCAGACCATATACATTCTTTCTTCCAAAGAAAAGGAGATGTATCGGATTGTTCATCGTGTGTAAGCAACCCTGTGCACCGCACCCTATAGCACACTCACGTCACTAATAGAGTCTCTTTGTTGGTCTGGTCATTGAGCTCTGCAGTCGCTTCTTCAGCTCGATACATCGTGTGACATGCGAGTTTGTAGTGGATTCCCTCGTCTTTGTCCGCAATCTGAGCGAGCGATATTGGTTCCCAAAACAGGGAAGTTTGAAGCGAGTTCCCACGTGCTTATCGCATCATGAAACTTGAAACTGCTGCGTCCGCGACCTGTGGTATTCATTTCTGTGAGATGCGAGTTCTCGACGGGTTTCTGTGGGTGCTTTGCACCGTGAAACACGAATCTCCTGCATGAAGAACCTGCAGTATCTTTTCCAGAAACACGGGAGTTTGTAGTGAATTCCAGCGCGCTTATCACATTGTCAAACGCAAATCTGTGAGTCTGCAACCTTCGATATCAGTTCCCGTGTCACGTGGGTTGTAGCCAGTGCCCAGGAGTTTATCATTCATTTTTGATTAAATTTTGCTGCAGCATTCTCTAAGATACCCCACCCCATGTTTTTCACCATTGCCTCGGCCAAAACTTTCCCATGCCTCGGCCAACACTTGGATCATGGCGCATTTGTTGAAATCAACATACTATTCATCGAAATAAACATTCCCAAGAGCTTGCCAATTCCTCAAGCTTTGCTGACCACCTGCGTAGTGTGACAACACTGTTTATCTCATTTCTAGGAATTATGCGACGGACAATGGCACACGTACCAGGCTGTGCTTGATGCAACTTGGAGGATTGACTGCGTCGTTTGCTCCTTTCCCGCAAGTGGAGAATGTGCAGTTAACTCCCCAATTTTTTCAAAGACCGCAGCTAATGACAGCGCATGACGCGCCGGTCATCGGTACACGTGCAACTGCAGTATCGGATCAATGCAGCACGATCACGTGCTTGGCCCGGTCAACAAGGCAACACATACTTTCTGTGCTCCCTGAGTTTCTGGGGCACACGAAAGATTCTTCAAAATAACCAGGTCCAGAGGTTACCGTATTTATTTGAATCTAGGCCGATAGTTTTTTTTTTAAATACCAATACATCAAACTCTAGAGTCGGCTTAGATTCAAGGACTTAGAAACACGCGCCAATTTTCAAGTAAAATTGAAGAAAGTGGCGCGCAGCTAGCGCCACCTAGAAAAGAAAGTATTGTAGCCAATACTAGCCGAGCCAGTAGTCACATAAGTACACAGGCGGTGCCGCCATTTTGACCTGCGTTGATAACGGCCTGCGTGCGGCGTGGCGTTTTCTTTTTATCAACAGCGCAATGGACCCAAACAGGCGGTGCCATTATACCGTATTTATTTGAATATAAGGCGAGTTTTTTTTTCCAAAATCCGTAGTGTCAAAGTCATACCCCGCCTTATATTCGAAGCTCAGTATAGCAATATGTCGTTTTTTTTTTCTTTTTCTTGGGTCCTTCAACTGCCCCCTCGCCTTATAATCGTGACCGCCTTATATTCGAATAAATACGGTAGTTCCGCTTTTAAAAGAAAAGTTGTTTTAGCCGCGGAGTTGTCATCGAACGTCGAAGCCGGGCGGGACTTTAGCGTGGATGAAAGAAATGTTCGTCGTTGGAGGATATTTGCGTGCGCCGCAACGAGGATGGTATTCACCGGACCACGAAATGAAGATGACATTGGCCGACTTCGTCTGCATGCAGCGAGCAGCTGCAGGGATCTTCATGTTTAAAAATTTCTTCTTTTTGTGAACGCTGTCCTCACCTCCTTGTTCGGCCTACATTCGAGGTAAGTTTTTTTTTTTTTCCTGGCTTCGGACTTTCTAGGGTCGGCTTAGAATTGGGGCCTGCCTAGATTCGAATAAATACGGTAGCTCTCGAATTACTGCATCATTTTCCTTCATAGCGTCACACGGACAACTGCCCAAACCATACCCGTACCTCGAATAAAATGACTTTGAATTACCAAAATGACTGTATGGCCGTGCTTCTTATTGAAAAAACTGAATTTAGTACAAGAGGAATCGATGCGTGGTCGTCAGTGCGAGCCGCGGGTAAAGCAACTTGTCGTCTGCCACAAACAACAGCTTTGACGGCATGCAATGAAGGTTGCGGTAGCCCACCCTTGGCATACGCGGAATGGCGATGCACGCAGCCACGGTGGCCAGTAAATATGGCCCATGCAGACGTCCCGTCGCACCCTCCGCACATCTGACCTCGACGACGCGGTCACGGGTCCTAGCTCGAATGCATCTCCGACCGGTATGTTTACCACATCCATGCTTGCAGACCCTCGGTTTCGGCGCGACGATGTCGCGCTCGTGTCGAGCCGTTGCCCTTCCAATCCTCGCAGAAACGCAGCACAGGGGTACACAGCGGGCACTCTCCCCGCCGTAGGTCATTCTTCGGCTCAACGTTTCACGAAAACTTCAGCAGGCAGGGAGGGGGGGAGCGAATACTGCGGCGACAGCGACACTTGCATTGTTTCGTTGCGACCGGCGAAACCACTATGACCGAGAACAAAGACGACGTCCGATGGCACGACGCACTGGCTCTGGTGACACGATTTCTTGACACTTCAAAACTGCTTTCGATGCTTGAGAAGGATGAGAAGCTAAACCAACACTGCCTAGAAGACTAGGTCCGTGCCTTCCCACACTAAAACGTCGTCACTAGCGGATCCATGCAGCATCGCCAAAGCACCTTCGAGCTTCTCGTAACGAGCGCGACGCCAAACGCTGCACTTGCGGCTTTGCACCATACCCTTGTCCAGCTTCTGCGCGGCCGCCGTTCGGGGTGGGTCGTGAAGCCGCCGACATAATGTGCGGGCCTTTCGCAGACCCGGCCGCCCGGTTCACCCACCTGTTGGCTTCGGCCATCTTCTCGAGGCGGTACTTCTCGGCCTCGGCAGGGCGCCGGATGGTGGCCTCAAGCTCCTTCTCCCTGCGCAGGATCTCCTGCTCCTGCACCTGAATCTCCTGGGTTCGCTCGATGACCTGCACCTGCATCTGCTCCTCCTTGATGCGCTGCCGAGTCTTGGCCGCCTGCAGGCTGTACGCCAGGTCGCTGTCCGCTTTCTGAAACACGCACGCACCCTGTCTTCATCCTCGGGGCAGTGGAAAGGAGGTGCCACGGTCAACCGCTATACACTCCATTTAACCTTACGATGAACCACAGCGCATGCTACGAGCCGTCCTACTCTCCGTTCACTCCTAAGCCGAAACTGAGGTGGAAGATACGTGCTTGTTGGACCATTTATACATTTATCTTTAGCCATGTGGTCACGCCACTGCCCACACATATGTGCAGAGAGCAGGGCCAGCCGATGAAAGGGAAGCGGTTGATTGATCCGGTGAGCACGTAGCTCCAATCACACTGTCAGCTAGGGGGCAAATGGAGTATGGCCAATTTAGTGCTTCAAGCATATCACGTGACTCCACATTCCGCACGAAGCTGCGCCCCTCGGAAAGGCATGCAACTCTCACGCGGCAGTGTACTGGCTCTGCAGTGCGATATACCGTAAGCTGAAATGGAGTATACTGTAGCTGGCACATCTGGTGGCCAAGAAGGAACTCTTTGAGCAGTAGCCAGCCACCGAGCGGGACTGCTGCGTTGCAATTCGGCAGGGTGCTCGGATGGGAAAAACTTGGGTATGATAAATGCGACTGCGGCACGGTCGGCCAAAGTGGTGACGATGCAGTAATTTACGGAAACAAATATTATGATACTACACACGCAAATTTTCATGCAGCCTTCGAGCGATCTCCCACGCTATACTCAGTTGTAACCTTACCACGAACTGCAGCGAACGCTACGAGATAACCCAGCTATTCCAGCATTGTGAAAGTGTCACGCAACTACGTGCCCCAGATGTTTGCCGTGTTCCTCCCAAAGGTTGCGCGACATTCACATTACATCGCCAAATTGGCTCTGATGACTGGTAGGTTCCGTTGCTGTCCATCATGAGGTGAAATGGAGTATAGCAAGTTGCAGGCTATTGGGCTTAGGTAGACTACTTCACGAGGCTTTACTTTTTTTTCTCCTCGAGCTTAATATTTTTCACGTTTCTCGCAGCAAAAGTTGACTTCGAGCAAACATCACTACGCCGAAGCAGCGTGTAGACAGAACGAATGTGGCAAAATGCGGTCGGATCAAGACTACCTAGAAGACAGGCCTGCACCTTTTTCTCTTAGAGGACACACGTAAAGGAAAAATAAATTTTTTTTAAACAACCTGGTTGAGAAAAGGAAGTCATAAAACGAATTTAAAACAAAAAGTAAATTTTTAGAGCTATATTTATGGCATTATACGAATTTGTAGTTGGCGCCCGCGAGCGCCGCAGAAAAGTAGCCACTATTTGTCATGTGACTGGCCGCTATTTGCCATCAGGTACTTGCGCTCTTTCGGAAGCTTCCATGGTCTCCAAAAGTTACTTATTCATTTCTGTTTCAAGAGCAACAAAGAACGAAGATTAATAAGTAACTTTTAGAGTACAAAGGAAGCTCCTGAAAAAGCGCAAGCAGACGTGATAATCCTGTGCGCCGGTCAGATGATGGCGGCAGCGCGGCGGAGCAGATGAACTTGCACAACGGCGGCAACGGCTGGAGAAAGGCTTTGAAACGGCGGCGCACCACGCTCAGCGTGCGGCGGCGGCGTGACTTCGAGGTGGCAGCGGCGCCGCAGGACGGCGCACGGGTGTATTACGTGAACCGCAGCTACAAATACAAATTCATTTTGCGGCGTCAATATTGCTCTAAAAGTTTTATTTCTTCGTTGTGAATTTGTTTCATAACATTCTTTTTCCATTCAGACTGCTTAAAAAAATATTTTCTACCTTTGCATGTGTCATTTAAACGGTGTTGCCAGTGGGTCCATGTAGCACCGCCCAACTGGCATCAGAGCCAGTGCATCGTGCGGTGTGATGCCGGCGTACGGCGATGCCGAGACAGATGCATCTGCCACCGAGCTTTGGCTTGTTTGCCACCCGGGGCGGCTCGGGGATCTGCTAACGACTTCCTGCGCATGCCTCGTCTACTGCGCGGTATGGGTAGGACACCACATCCGCACTGATGGGGGAAAAGCACCTTTGTGTTGACTTCCATGTCGTAGGCCGCCTTCTTCAGCTCAAAGTCCCGCTGCGCCTTGGCAATCTCCGTGTCGTTCAGGTAACGGGACGCCATGCGCTCTTCCTCCGCAAGGGCCTCCTGAAAGCGCCATCCAAGAGCAACCGACAACTTGTGAGTGGCCCGTCGTCTTTCGAGAAACGCGTCTCGAGAGTGATAAAAAGGCGTTTACTTGCACACCCGAACAGAAAGGTTCCTAGAAAAGTCGGAAGAAGGCAGAAGAAACGAGAGCATCTGATGTGCAGATAAATAAAAGAGCACTGGACGAAGTTCTGAATGTTACGCTAGCCACTACTACCGGGTGAAACAAGGAGACGGTAGGCTCTTTAAATCGACCGGAAAATTCGGTTTCTTAACCTATCGCGCTACGACTTTGCGCAGCGTTGCCCACACATGGTGCATTTTTTTTCGTAAAATTTGCAAAGAGCGGACTTACCTGAGGAAAAAGTAAAGAAAGAAAAAGGCTTAGCTCCTATGGAAACGCAGCGACGCCACCGGTCTGCAATCAACACGGCGCCGTTTTGCACGGTAGACAAGAGATGGCGCAAGGGGTCGCAACGCCAACTGCCGCCAACGAACGAGCAGACGACGCCGAGAGCCGGCGTAATTAGCAGACAAGGAACTGCAGTTCCTTGTTGTTACTGCGCCTGTCTTTTTTTTGTTTCTGCGACTGTCGCCGCCTGCGGAACGCGCGCCGCTTTTGAGTCGAAAAGATTGTCGGCTAAAGAGCCTTTGAGGAATACCTCGGCCGGCTCTCGGCGCCCGTATGCTCGTTCGTTGGCGGCGTTCGTTGCGCCATCTCTTGTCTACCGTGCAAAACGGCGCCGTGTTGATTGCAGACTGGTGGTGTCGCTGCGTTTCCATAGGAGCTAAGCCTTTTTCTTTTTTTACTTTTTCCTCAGGTAAGTTCGCTCTTTGCAAATTTTACAAAAAAAAATGCACCATCTGTGGGCAACGGTGCACGAAGTCGTAGCGCGATAGGTTAAGAAACCGAATTTTCCGGTCGATTTAAAGAGCCTACGGTCTCCTTGTTTCACCCGGTATATAATGTAAGTAAGCTGAGAAAAGCTTCTTTAGAATCGCCTGCTACTGTAAAGGGGAGTGCTGCTGAAACAAACATCCATTCCCTGCTAAATTTAGCGGACAATGCTTCCGTCAATGCCTCATTTAATCGCAAAACTCAGCAGAGATGTATTCTGCATTCACAAGAGTTCAGCAGAAGCCTAGGGATTTTTTTTCACTTTCCCTCTGTGATGGAGAAATAAACTGATTTATTGACTCACTGCAGTAACGTGTTCACCATACAATGGCATCCCGACGATACACATTCTAGAGATTAAAACGTTAGATGAAGGTAGTACTGTCAATTATTGGGTTAACATCTGCGTACCACCTTTCCTCATATGGCAGTTGGTCAACCAACACTGCCTTACTGTTGCAGCTCACTCTCCGCACTGGAAGGCAGAAACTGACCTTGAACTTGGCATGCAGAGTTTGCTGACTTCATCCCGAGCTCAATATAACCGTCACATAATTGGGCACCCCTTAAAAAGAAATATGTTGCAAACCTTTTCGTGGGGTCGTCAGGCCCGAGAAGCACCTTAAAATTAATTTGATGTACCGATCTTCAAGAAGAATATTAATAGGGGAGACAATGCTGCATTGGTATACCGAGACCAGCTCTGGTACTGACGTTTGAAGTTGCGGATGAGAGAAAACAGAGAAAGCGCACGACACCTTGATCTGTGAGTCCCGCTGTGCCTCAGCCTCTCCGATGCGGGCGTCACGCTTCACTTCCGCTGTCCGTGCCATGCCCAGTGCTCTCAAATAGCCCTGTTCCCAGGAGAGCAAGGACAACTGCAATCAAATCTCTGGCCAATGGTTGTTGTTAAGGACATAAAAGTCGCTGTTTAACTCTTCCCATACTGCGCCCGTTAAAATCTATCAACTGCGATCGACGATCTGCGAGCTCCACTGCAAGGCCTCCAAGTCGTTTCTGGACAAGTCACAGCATCTGGTGATTAGAATAGATGCTCTAGTTTCAGTTTCCGGATAGTTATTTTTCTTTTCTCCCTTGAGATATCAGTTTTTCATAGCCAAACACGCATCTCAGAATGAGTGCTTCACGCTGCGAACATACCGTCTTCATTGCGCGGCGTGCCTCCTCGGAAGATTTTTTAAGTCTCGCGATTCTAAGGCGTCTGCAGTTGACTTTGTTGCTGTTACTGTAGTACGAGTGAGTCATAAGATGACTTCGCATGATAAAAGTTTTGTTCCGACAACAATGATTTGTCAAATGAGCCCGGAACATCAACAACCGCGCGTCGGTAAGGCTTGTTTTGGCTTTCAGGTTCTTTGTTGGCATCGAAATAAAGTTCAGGCGGTTTGAACTTGTTGTTAGTGCATCTGGTGATTAGATTAGACATTCTAGTTTCAGTTTTTGTATACTGTAAAATAGTTTCTGAACACTGCAAAAATTATTGGCCGTGAAAATAAAGGGTTTTACAGTAATTCCTTTTTTCCCCATGGGTTGGCGATTTACCATAATCAAATGCACAGCCGAGAAGAGCGCCCTACGTGCAGCGCACCTTTTCGAAAGAGTTTAATGTCTCGCGATTCGAGCGCGTCTGCAGTTGATTTTGTTAATGACACTACAGTGAAACCCGTTTAGAACGAACCCGCGTACAGCAAATTATTGTCGATATCGAACTCACGAAAAATTTAAATAAAAATGCATGTAAAAAGTCTTTTTATAATGAACAACAAATTGGCTATATCAATCTTTTTCCCCCCGTGAAGGCTTCTAAAAACACGGATACAATTGTTTTCTAGCCCGTCCCGTCCCGTCCCGTCCCGTCCCGTCCCGTCCCGTCCCGTCCCGTCCCATCCCATCCCTCCCCTCCCCTCCCCTCCCCCTCCCTCCCCCCCCCCCCCAAAAGAAAGTTGGAAAGAAAGAAAAATTTAAAAGCTCAAGTTGCGAACAAAATTGAGCGAAGAGAAGCGATTCAGAAGGAGAGAACGCTAAAAAATACACAGCATGCACGCACAGAAAAAACAAATTTTCATCCCAAAACAGTTGCCCATGAAGAGAAGCGATTCAGAAGGGGAGACAAGCTGAAAGAACAAACTCTGCTTATAACGGACGCATTGTGGAAGTTCGTTGTAAATGGCTTTTGCTATATCGAATTACTTGCTATATCGAACTGATCATAGAGTTTCCTGCTGTTCGTTATACTTGATGTAGAATATATCCGAACCCCTTTTACCCTGAACAAATGCACCACAATCCCCCCCCCAAAAAGTGGGGAAACTGCAAGATAAGTTACGAGAGTGCAAAGATGAGCACAAGACAAATGTCTTCTGCAGTTTGTGCTACATTTAACTGTGTTTTACCATATTGAGAAACTGCCTCACCGAATAACGTGCACACCACAATGTTAGAACTATGTAGTAAAACTTGACAAGTTTTTAATACATTAGCATTAAAATGCTAATTTTGACGAAAACCCGGTGGTGTCTTTCGTTTGTCAGCTACAGGAAGAGAGGGAGGAGGAGGGGGAGAGGGTGACGCATATGACGCTCCCATGGAGGATCTGAAACGCTAACGTCGGCACGCGTCAACCTGTCCCTCTCCTTACCCCTCTCCCCATAGCTGACAAACTGAAAGACACCGTCGAATTTTTGTTAAAACGAGCCCTTTCGTTTTCATCCAAGTCACATGCACAGCTGGTGCGGAGGCAGAGAGGAGGCAGCGCCGCGCAACCCCCTTTAGATAACAAAGCCTTCATGCTGAATGAGATGGCATCATCAGAGAAGGCCAACACTGGACACAAACTGGAAACAACCGCTGTGCGAGCGCTCAGCTTCGAGTCAAGTTTGAACCTGGGCCGACGATTGATGTAATTGTCGTGTTCAATCTGGGCCCAGCGTTGGCCTTCTCTGATGATGCCATCTTATTCAGTACTACGTCTTTTTCGTGGCCCTTGTAAACCCCCCCCCCCCCTCCCCCCGCCCTTGTGACACCACTGTGGAGTGGTTTCACTAGGGTCAGCGGCGGCAGTTGGGACGGCAGCCCGCCGCGACCCCCACCCCCCCTTCACTGCCCAGCTGCACCCCCTGAGCGCTGCACCTGGGGCAGAAGCGAGCCTTTAAACTTAATCACCTCTTTCAATTTAATGCTATGGCAGAAATAAAGCAATGCTTTTGCTACTTTTATCTTAGCTCTGCACACAACCACATCCTGTAGGCGATAAAACTTTTAACTGATTAAATTGAATTTCAGTGTCACTTCCGTAGCAAAGCTGTTTGATAATTTAGTAATCACTGTCCAGTACTCCTCTGAGCACCCAATTAGGAAGCCCGCAGGAAGAAGCGCTTTACGACTGCTAAGCAGCTTTGAACAAAACATTGTTGTACAATAGAGCTTCTTCAAAATAAAGTCAATTAATAAAAATAAACCTTCACTACACCCGGACCTTAAATGTACACATCACAATTAAAAGCATACATCCAGTCTGCTACATTAGTCACTACTACACGGATGTCCTTTTCTAGCGATAGCTAGACGAAGAAAGATTCTGAGACTGCTTTATATACTATGCGCAAACTCGCGCTTGACGAGGAAAGAAAGGAACAGAATACCAGGGGACTGACCTCCTCATCACTGATGTCCTTGATGGTGTAGGACACAACCGTGATGCCCATGTTGACCAGGTCGGACGAGGCAACCTCAAAGACTTGCTTCGAGAACTTCTTCCTGTCTTTGTAGATTTCCTGTTCGTAAACAAAACCCAAACACATGTCCATCCTGAAAAAGGCCTATTTCCCCCCAATACGTTTGATCAGGCTCAATGTCACAGTCAACTGAATATTCGTCCCACAAAAAATATAACCTCCTCATGAACATGTTTCCTGGGCTTGCTTGATGTGGCTTGCTCCTGATGCAAACAAAAACAAGTCAACGGTTTTTTGTCAACCGACTGTCGAGCTACACTTAGAACTTAATAACGAAGTACAAGCTAAATTCCCATTGCAAAACCAAAAATACTATAAGCACTCACCCTGGTGCATTGCACGATGAGCTGACCTCCTTGCTGCTAACTTTTAGACAAAGCAAAGAGTACAACTACCTCAAGCCACTCAATTTCCACGGTGAAAAAAAAATATTTAATTTCTGGATTTTGCGAACGACAAAGATAATCAAAGCTAACTTCGTGAATAGATCGCTCCACAGCAGAGATAAGAACGTCGCATCTCCATGTTCAGAGGTTGCAGTTGTTTTCCTAATGCCAATGTAGCCTTCTTCAGTACTCCAAGGCAGGGCTATGTTTCGACCCCGGGGAGCTAACATCCAGCTTGACTAAAAATTACGATCCCCTCCCGATCTCGACCTTGGTGCAATAAAGTAGTGCAAAAGCCCATAAACTTTCTAAACAATATAGCACATGCTAGAATGTGTTTGGCTTGCGATTATGCGCCATTAGAGGACCCAGGTCTGCTTAGACAGTGCTTAAATTGAAACAAAAATGAAAGGAAGGTCCATTGGTGAATCCTTAGGGAATGCATCAACACAACTCTTGGGAAACGCCATACATGTCCCCCTTTGGGAAATGCTAATGCTGTTCCCTTTACTTTTCTCTTTTGGCTTTCTCTTGTGCCTCCTCTATTTTTTTTTTCCTCTTTCTGGCTTTGTTATGGGGTTAGTGTAAGCGTTTCCCAAAGAGGGACATGTATGGTGTTTCCCAAGGGCCATGCTAATGCAATCCTTAAGGATCCACCAATGGATATTCCTTTAATTTTTTTGCTGCCTACTTGGACCAGCTCTAGTACTTGGTTCACACTCCATTTTGTACCACAGACCAAGAGATACGCGCTCCGCACACCTGCAAGCTCAGACTCGCCCCGGCATCTGCGCGCGTGTTGGCTTGCGCCCCGTGACGTTGCCTCCTTCTCGCCTTTGTCCTTCACTACTTCCCTCCTCCATACGCGGCGCGCTTTCCTTTCCACCGTTTTGCCCACAGACAGACAGCGTCTCGGCTTTTCTCTGTCGTGTGGGTATTAATGAATTAAAAACCATTTTACTTGAAGCTAGGGACGGTTGAGGAAATTTGGGAGCTCTGGGAACCCTTGATACTTTGGAGAGCTTCCCAGGAACCCAGTTTGAGATGCCCTAGTGTCCAATGGGACCTTCAAAAGTCCGAAGAATGTGAGAGCAAGTGTCCACCTCGACGCTCATTGTGCCCATGATGGCCCTCTGGTGGCCTTCCAACGTCTCCCTGGCAATGTGCATGATCTCCTCGTCGTTCTTGCCCAAGAACTGCTCACAGGCCGCCTTGAGCATCTCCATGTTCTGGCCCTGAATCTTGACCTGAGCACAAAAGCACAAAAAAAAAAAAGACACCCAAGCATTTCTTATGAGTTGAGAATGCGAAAGCATGCAAGCCGCTTGTCCGCTTCCTTTGTCGTCTGCTGTGTACTGGCGCGCGCACGCTTCAGGATCTCGGAGGTCATAGCGCAGCGGCCAATGGGAGCCCCGTCGACACGCGCCAGCCAATAGAACCGAAGGCGATCGCAGAAACTAGGAGCCGTTTTTGCGCTTCAAACTGATGACGTCAGCTCGCTCCACAAAACAGTTAATAATTTCGCATTAAAAAAAAAAAAAAAAAAAAGGTGGCAGTTGATACTAAGTTTTTATTCACATGAACACGCCCAATACTTTGCTTCCTCATTTCAATCATTTTATTTCCGTCAACTCGACAAGATGGATATAAAAAAAATAATGCTGTATTGAGAAAATGATGGACATTTAGCCCCCTTCAATGAGTTGAAAGAATTAGTGTTTAAAACTATTTATCCTGTTGGCATACGTTCGAAACTTGCAACGAGCTCTCGGCCAACATTATTGATGAAGTTGGAACCCTGTGAACAATTTGGTAAGCTTCCAGCCCATCGTGCTAACAGCTCGGGAGGCTTCCAGCCCTCATCAAGCCGAGGAGAGAGCTGGAAACTTGCAATGCCCCACCCGCGTGAAAATTCGCAAGCACGTTGCTGCTTTTTTAGTGCAGAATGTGTTCCAAGTGCTGCTGGGACGACCGAGAAAGGCGAGACACGACGCAACTAAAAACTGTCACCTGCCCGCCAAATTTAGCGGACTGGCAGAACCACATATAGCCACAACGCGCATATCGGCCGATGACGAAGAGAGGCATGGGGTGCGCCGAATTATCTCGCGTCTGTCGAGAGAACACGGGAGCTTTCAATGTGGATAGATTTTTTTTTATTTGTCCGCTTCATGGTAGTTCGGTTGCCATACAAGTATGGCAGCACATAAGCTCAAAGACAATCGTCTTCAGGGAATAGAAATTTGTGATCATTATAAGATTGCACTTCAGTTTACACAGTGCGGTAGGAAGCACAAACTCGAGAGTGCAACTTTAGAAGGCGCAAATTTGGTGCAAATTTCGGTGCGAGCAAAGCATAGCACGGGACTACTCTCGTACATCCATAACTCTGTTACAGTATAATACTTTAACCCGTAGTGAGGCAGCTGGAGGGAGTCCCAATGGACATTGTGTGAATTTCATAGAATTGGTAGTTTCCCAAAACAAATATTTAGACAGAAAAACCAAACGGGCAATATTTTGAAAAGGGGCATTCATTTGGGATTTCACAGTATACGTGCAATACATAATAATATTTCTAACAAAATTTTTTTGCAAAGTACATTTTCAGAAATTTTCTAGATGTGGACATTTGTCAATTGCCAGGGTGTTGGGAGTAGAAGGAGGGGATAATTGCAGCAAGTTTCGCTGTCCTCAACACTTTCTCTGCCGCACAGCAGTAATTTTGTTTGCAGGTATTATGCAGTTTCGTTGCAAAAGTGCCACAAAAGTCTGCCAAACACGACAATCTAAAGCAGTGGTTCTCAAATTGGGGTCCGCGAAGTCCTGCCTCATCAGTAAAGCCCCATAAAAAAAGTTGTATTTTTTACAAACTGAGAAAATTTTTTTCACTTTTTGGAGTTTTCTTGTGTGTACGTCAATAAGAGAAGTCTATTTCACACTGGCCCAGGAGTTCTAAACTTTCTGGCCTCACGGAAACCCAGGGAGCCTCAAAAACTGCCGCGGAACCCCCCATATTAGCCGACCGAGATGCAACAGATGCACAATCGTAGGCAATTTTGCTTGTGTTGCTTCCCATATATCCCCACCATATCAATCGCAATGTCAGTACAAAGTGAGGTGAAGGTGCTTTGCATGGTCTTGCCACGCAGCCTGCGGCATGGGGGGGGGGAGGGGGGTTGCAATTTGGGTGTTCGCGGAACCTATGAGACCAGCTCGTGGTACCCCCGTGTTTCCTGGAACCCAGTTTGAGAACCCCTGCACTAGCCCTTAGTTATATCCATTTATTAAATTATTATTATATTTAACCTAAACCTACCCCTCCCTTAACCACATACGGGTTCCTCCATCACCTCCGCCGATCCACAAGGGGTCCGCAAACAATCGATGGTTGAAAACCACTGATCTAGGGCATTGTGCATTTTCAAAATCAGCATTGCCTTGTCCAGAGGATGCAAAATATAAAGGTGGGCTACACATTGTAGACATGGCCAGTCAGCCAGACAGGTGGGTGGCAAAACCACTGCAACTCACGGTAGGAGGACCCCTGACTTAAACTGAAACAAAAGCTGAAGGTTGCACCTAATGAGCAGCTTCAAAACCATGCCATTTCTCTCCTAAGGAGACAAGGCCTGGCCTCTGGAGTTGGCATTGAAGACAGAGTGGAAGCCAGAGAGAGAGTGCAAGAAAGAAGAATAAAATAAAAGAATAAGGCAAGTTAAAGGACAAGTGGGAGAGGGGCCGGAAACAATGACGTCAACTGCTCTGCAGTACTTGGCTAGTGAGGCTGAAGAAATTGTGTTTTGTAAGGAAAAACATCCACTTTAAAAGTTTGTGTTTATTTGATACACTTAACTATTTCACACCTCTATGAGCACCCTTGGAACTGTCTTTACTGAACAAGTTTTAACTCTGTATCAAAGGAAGTTCACCAAAATTTACCTATTAAGGCTCTTCCACTCAAAGCACTTTCGAATTAGAGTAAGCAACAATGGTTACACAGTTTGCAGGTCATCCTAGTGATATCCCACACTGCCTGGTGATAGGGAAAGAAACTTGGCGTAGAAGGGAGAGAGGAATAATGTTTGTCTTTTTAGACTTAGGTTAGGTGGTGCAAGCTACCACCCGTAACAAGGGGTATTAGCCATTAACATCCATCCATTCATCCATCCAGATATCTCAAGGAAGAACTGACCTGAGCTATACCAGTCACTGATATAGGAACACCCTGCTGGGTATAGACCTTTGGGCTTTCAATTGTCAGTGTCATGGTGTTGAGGCTGATCCTACAAGGACAAAGAAAAACACAACATTCATTATTAATTACAATTGAAAGGTTTTGAAAGAGCCCCACACCTACCTACTTTCACTGCACTTTCTATTGAATATCAAAAAGAACATGCCACATGGCTGAAAAAGATTTTTGTCGTTACATGATACTAAGTGCATTACCATAAAATCCCGTAAGGGTGCCACCCAAAATGAAGAGATAAATAAAGAAAAGCATGAGGTGGGCTATCTTTGGGGATGAAACAGCAAAATGTTATCTAAAATTAATGATCAACACAGCGGCACCGGCTACAAACCGCCACAAGACACGGGAACCGATACCGCAGATTGCGGACACGGCAAATTCATGTTTCACAAGGCGATAAAAACGCAGGAATTCACTACGAACTCCTGCGTCCCAAGAAAGGATACCGCAGACTGCGGATGTAGCAGATTTGTGTTTTATGGTGAGAAAAACCTGCAGAAACTGCTTACAAACTTGCATGCCACAGGAACCGATATCCCGTGCACAAAACACGCGGTGAACTTTCTACAAACTCACATGTCACGGGAACCGTTATTGCACATGCAGATCGCGGATGAAAATGCAGGAACCCACTGTGAACTCGCTTATCACATGTACCAGTACCACAGATCGCGTGGCTGATGTGAATCCTGTCTGACATCGCGTCGACGGGCGTTGGGCGATGTTCCAGAATTTTTTCGTTACAGATATTTAGCCAGAAAAACCGGATGAGCGATCTTTCTGGGAAGCCCTTACGGGATTTTATGGTAGATGAAAAAAATTATTTCTTTGATCTTGTTTATTGTTTTCTGAAGCAACGATCTATGTATGCACATACTTTCGTATTGGTGGCCTTTAAATGCTAGCAAGTAAAAGACAGATTGTCCACGACAAGGCCAACTGCAGTTATCTAGCCACATTTATGAAGAGCATTGTCATGCTAGCACAATTTATTGTAGAATTTGTTGGACTAATTCAAAAGTGCGAGCAATGTTTTTCTGTGGAATCTGCATTAGCACCAAAAATCTGGATTTTCAGCTATGAATTGTGACAGTAGAGGATGTATACTCCAATCGTGAAAAGCAAATACAGAATACCACGAGCATATTTAGTGCAAACGTTACGAATGAGGATTCCACATTTTGTCAAAAGAAAAGTAACTCGGAAGGACTATTCAGTTAGAGCACTTGCAGTCACTGCTAGCATCACCCAGGAAAGAAAGTGATAAAGTCAAATGTGGGTGTTTTGCAAGCCCAACCAACGAAGGGCATGTGACGCACCCCAGTGGAGGACTCAGAATTAATTTCGATCGCCCAGGGATCTTTCGACGCGCACCAAAATCTCAGCTACACCCCCCCCCCCCCCCCCCCCCCCTCTGCAATAAGATTCTATCAGATTGCGGGAGCTTTGGTCAGAATTCAAACCTGCCACATGGGGATTCGCAGGCCGGCACTTTGCTAGGAAAGGGAATGCAGCTTTTGAAATACATCATCCGACACTTTGCGAGATTTGTGAACATGCTCACTGGCCTCAAAACTTTTCCCATCTTCATGGAGTCTTTGTAAAAGACAGCCCTGAATCAGAAATGCTTCAGTAGAAGTAGGAGTTTGCCCATGCATACAAGCAACTCGGCTACACTACTGATTGCATCCGAGTAAAGTCAGGACTGAAAGAATAGAACTCGTTATGTAATGGAAGCAGCGAAGTGTGACTGTCAAAAGCTAATCCATCACTACTCACCTTTGGACTCTCTGTATGATGGGCCAGACAAAGACTCTTCCTCCGGGAACCATCAGTGGATGCGCGTGACAGCATCCTAGGCAACAAAAAAAAAAAAAAGAAGAAAAAGGACAAGGCAAAGGAACAGCAAATATAGACTCATATTTTGGATTGAGCACACGACAGTAGAAACTGCACGAGTCACACCGATTATTCTTTTGTCGAGTCTAGCCACCTCTACATTGAGGTTCCCTGCTGGCAAGCCCAAAGCAAGCCGACAATCAGCCCGGAACGTTAAGGAAAGCGAGTCCAGAAAGAAACGGTACACCAAAAGGGTACTTATATTACTAGACATGTAAATAATCAGAACTGTTTGCAAAGCTTATTTAATGCAGATAATAAATGTAGAGACACAAGTCTTAAAAGTATGTACACACAAGAAGCAGTGCAAAGGAGCCCCGTAGCTTCGGTTCCAGCACGTGCAATGGATGGAAAGGTCCATAAAGTGTGCGAATGTGTTGAATGCATTAGCTTTTTTTGTTGTTGTTCTTTGATCAGATCTTACAAATAAAAGATAAAACTAGCGAGCTCTTACAACAAGACTATTGAACCAACCATTGCCATTGAAGTGCACACCTAATTGTCAGGGAAGCTGCCGATCCATTGGAACGAATTGTCTCAACCCAGACAACGCTTTCTCTAGAGGCGCTATCTTGTTTGCAAGTGTGGGTTCTTGTTTACCGAATATCGCAAAAAAAAAAAAAAAATAAGGGGGGGGGGGGGTAATTTCTCGGCTGGGAGTGTTTTCTACAAATATTTCTCTACAGCGTAAATAAAAAAAAAGTTTATTCATAAAAGAAAGACGCCCTGCGCATATACCGTAAAATACCGAGCATCCGCCCATTCTACAATAAACACTCACCCCTCAATTACGTATAATTTAAAAAAATGAACAAAGGCCATATCTTTACATATTGCTGTCTGCTGACCCAAGGAGCACCCATCCCACAGTTTTACATGACTAATCTCAATTTTGAGTGGGCACTTGCACTGGATTTTACGGTAAGCGCAGGATTCAGTAAACCGAAATAGTCAGAGAAATATCGAAATTACAGCCACAAGCACATCATTTAGGTAATTTTGGGCTCCATGTCCGACCCATTTCCGAAATTGCAAGACAGACACCAATGAAACCGCAAAAATTGCCGCTGCTCTTGCAAATCACAACGCAACGCCAGTATTTCGACGACACGAACATAAGCAGGAAATGTCCTTCTGCAAACCGGATGACCAGCGTATGTTACGATAATCGACGTGTTTACTCCTTTCAGGCCTAGGCACCGATAGAAGACCATGATATAGAGGCAGAATAAACAACAAATAATTTCTCAGCTCGCGTGAGCTGCAAGCACGGCATGTAAACGACTATCGCAAACTCAATTCGAAGGGATGGAGCTTTCATGGGCTACTATGCATTGAATGGAGTGAAGCACATCCTAAGCTGCGTCTAGTACAAACCAGAAAATCACTAAGGACAGAACGGGTGCTAGAGCAGCAGCGATGTATCCAACACAAGTTGTGAACTGGCTAACCAAAATATAGGTGAGTGAATCCCTGGATAAGCGCTAAGCCTATTTGCCGAGCGGAAGATGCGGATGGGGATCGGTATCCGATGATATCAGGAGAGGGCTGCGGTGCAAATTGACTCACCCGATACAACGAGGGCCTCGTTGGGCCCGCAGGCTGCAAAACCGACCATAATTCCTTCGCTCGGATGCAGGTAGAAAGCGAATTTAAACGGGAATAGCCGTCACTCCAACAACCATCACACACCGGACGCCTACACCGCTCACTTGGTTGCTTGGCCAACGTTCGCAAATGGCCGTGACCGGAAAAAACAGAAAGCAGAGAAAAGTTGTTTACGACACAGTGTTGTCGCGCCGCGCCGCTTTTCCAGCCAAGCTCAACGTTGTGACTCGTGAGTCCTTCCTTTGCTCACGGCACGGGGGCTAAAAGATGCGCGGGGAGAGACATGGTTTTTGTCTTCGTGTCTGATTATCGGCTAAAATTTCTCGCCGACGGCAGTGGAATGCGTGCTATGCGCCACTACTATACCGGGTGAAACAAGGAGACGGTAGGCTCTTTAAATCGGCCGGAAAATTCGGTTTCTTAACCTATCGCGCTACAACTTTGTGCAGCGTTGCCCACACATGGTGCATTTTTTTCGTAAAATTTGCAAAGAGCGGACTTACCTCAGGAAAAAGTAAAGAAAGAAAAAGGCTTAGCTCCTATGGAACCACCGGTCTGCTATCAACACGGCGCCGTTTTGCACGGTAGACAAGAGATGGCGCAAGCGGTCGCGACGCCAACTGCCGCCAACGAATGAGCAGACGACGCCGAGAGCCGGCGTAATTAGCAGACAAAAAACTGCAGTTCCTTGCTGTCACCGCGCCTGTCTTTTTTGTTTCTGCGACTGTCGCCGCCTGCGGAACGCGCGCCGCTTTTGAGTCGAAAAGATCGTCTGCTAAAGAGCCTTTGAGGAATACCTCGGCCGGTCTCGGCGCCCGTATGCTCGTTCGTTGGCGGCGTTCGTTGCGCCATCTCTTGTCTACCGTGAAAAACGGCGCCGTGTTGATTGCAGACCGGTGGCGTCGCTGCGTTTCCATAGGAGCTAAGCCTTTTTCTTTCTTTACTTTTTCATCAGGTAAGTTCGCTCTTTGCAAATGCTACAAAAAAAAAAAAAAAAAATGCACCATCTGTGGGCAACGCTGCACAAAGTCGTAGCGCGATAGGTTAAGAAACCAAATTTTCCGGTCGATTTAAAGAGCCTACCGTCTCCTTGTTTCACCCGGTATAATTCAAGCCTGCTGCCTTGTTGTAATAAAAAAAAAAAAAAAAGAGATGCGTCTAATATAATATTTTATTATTGTAAAACAATGTATTAGATGCATCCTGGAACAGTCAGGATGCCTCTAAGTTTGTTTTTTTGTATATATATATATATATATATATATATATATATATATATATATATATATGCGCCTTTAATTTGTGTAATTTGTGTGTGTGAGCGCGCGCGCGTGCGTGCGTGCGTGCGTGCGTGCATGCGTGCGTACGTGCGTGCGTGCGCGCGTCCGTGTTTACATGGCGTATAAATAAAAATTAAAGTTACGTCCGACGTAATTAACCCAAAAAGTTTTACGTTTAAAGGAATACTGTACCGAAATTTGGATTTCGCAAAGTAAGGCTGCAGAGGTGTTGAACGGGACGCAACGAACTCTAAAACATCACTCGTACATCGATATCTCAAACCGATGGCCGTACTTTTGGAAAAGAAGGGCGCGATCAAGCGAGTTCTTTGACGTAACTGTCCTCCGGGAGAAATTAGAGAATGAGGAGAAGCGGCCTTGCTTCTCTCCTCCTCACTTCGGTTCACCAGCTTGACGGGACGTAGTGAGGAGGAGAGAGAATGGGAATCGTGACGGTGCCTTGTCTCGTCGGCCTCGTCGGCCGGGTTCTATCGCGCACTTCTTTTCCAAAAAATACGGCGATCCGTTAGATATGTCGCCGTATGAGTGATATTTTTTTGGTTTTGCATCCGCCCGGCCTTGTTTAGTGAGCTCTAAATTTCAGTTCAGTATCCCTTTAACGTACACGAAATAAAAATTAAAGATACGTCCGACGGAACCCAAAAATAAAAGTTAAAGCTACGTCCTGTGCTACCTACGCAACCTTATTGAATGTTTTGCTTTACGGCCGATACTTGACATAAATGAAAAATAAATAACATGAATTGTTACTGCGTTACGTCCGATGCAGCATTCGTAAACCGGTTAAAATCGAGTGTGACATGCTCGCCTGATTGCTTGTAAATTTGTCTAAAGTTTGTAGCGTCCATGTAAAAAAGATGAAAAAAAAAAAAAAAAAGAAACGGGGTTGTCGAGGGGACTGGAGCGAGAAGCCGGGGGCGGGTTGCCCGTCACGTATATATTTTTCTTTTTTTTTTTTCTCTCCCCTTTAAGACAATTTATTTATTAATTTTTTCCCTGCTTTAAGACGATATATCGTGATTTTTTTTTCTATATGAAAGCACTTCTTGCTATATGCGACACAAAATCGCCCGTTTTTCTCATTATTTATATTATCCTTACCAGCATGCTCTCCATTCAAAATAGTTTACCTTATGTTCGTAAAACATCACGCAGGTTTAGCAGTAGTTACAAGTCATTGTGACTATCAATAGACCATTCCCGAAACTCAGACTGGCCACTTCGATAACTATCATCATCTAAATGTACATGCTAATGGCGGCCATTGATGACTGGTGAAGCAAGAATTTAAGGACGGGCGCCTGAACATTCTAGACGTTAGTTCGCTGTATTGTTGTTCGATGCCACCATGACAAGTCTTATAAGCTTCTATGCTCTACAGTTTTGAGTGTGTCATGTATATCCTTGGAACTATCATCTTCGGCACGCGCCAGACAGCTCATGAAAATGAAATGTAAATACATTTATCAAGAGTTTTACTGAGCTAAGCGACTCGAACAGAAGAGTAGTTTCTAGGGTGCCTCAATGTCTAGTAGCTTCCCGGCACAGTCAAAACTGAAACAAATAGAGAAATAGCTGTACAGCGAAAAACACCGCAACTTTCGTACGCCTACCGTGGACTAGTATGTACTAGATTTTAACCTCCATTAGCATACACAAGTTTACTTTGATATTTGAGCCACTAGATGGCGCTGACTTTGTGAAAGGGTCTATGTGGAGCGCAAATTCGTCTGCTTCTTTGCAGGGGCTGCGATGATGTCAGAACTCCAAGCCCTTATTGGCTGATAGAAAAAAAAATATTAAAGAAATTTACAAATCTGTGTAATGCGAAATTAGAGCGCAGCTCTTGCGGAAGAAGAGGGGAGGGTACGCAGATGAGGTTATTCCCCTCTTCCTCCTCCGTATCCTCTCCTGCTCCCCTCCTCCATCCCCTCCTCTCCACTCCTCCTCCAATTCAGCTTCCCCGTTAAATTTAGCGGGGAAAATGACACAACACATGACTTGGTGTCACGTCAGCTATGAACAAATTCAATTTCTCCGCCAGATTTAGCGGGAAAATTGACGTCACGTGACCTCAACACCAATTCGATTCCCCGCTAAATTTAGGGGGGATCGAATTGGTGTTGAGGTTACGTGACGTCAAATTTCTTGCTAAATCTAGCGGAGAAATTGAATTCGTCCGCTAAATCTAGTGAAGAAATTCAGTTTTTCTGCTAAATTTAGAGGGAATTGAATTGGTGTTGAGGTCACATGATGTCAATTTTCCCGCGAAATTTATCATTGTTACGCCGACGTCGACGCCGACGCCGCGTTACACGGAAACGGGCGTCTAAGAGCTGCTCTCTAAAAAAATAATGGATAGACCTCAAGGCGTCAAGCATTGAGGTCTACCCACTATCCTTTCATTCAAAGCCAATCACAGCTCGGGGTGGTTCTGACGTCACGGCGACTCCTGTGCTAGAACCAGAAGACTTTCTTTCCCCACCGCCATGACAGTGGAGTAGCCAAGATCTCTTTTCAAATGAGATCATGCAGGCGAGTCCAGACGTGTTTTACGTTCTTGTTTATTTTTTATATGTTAATCGTCAACATGTGTAGGGAACGTAACCAAAAAGATTTTGTAAAATAATATTTGAAGAGAAAAAAATATTTAGTGCGCCAGAATGGCATTGGTATTTGATTTTTGAAGTTTTCGTTTTTGTCATGTTTAGTGACACGAATTGCGCAATATACGAACATCAGAGATATAAAATACTTTGTACTTACGATAGATCATGGGAACTATTTATGTAAATATTTACAGCATTGTGGAGGTTATGCATCTTGCCTCAAAAATGCGCAAAATGAGCTCATTGGACGTTTTGTCACCAGATTTCTGAGCCGTTATCTAAAGAAATTGAATGGCTGCACAATTAAACTTCGTCAAATATTCCTATTATAACGTGCTTTCTAATAATATAAGAATCATTGCTTTATCTTGATTAGGTCAAAGCCGCTAGTATTGCGCGCGCCGCTTTTATGGCTCGCGGCATTTCGCTTTTGACGCCGGCGTTGGCTCCTGGGGGCGATAGTATATTGACAAAAGTGTTGCTTAGCACCGGTGCCGCCAGCGAGTCAAAGTGATAGCATGTCCCTTTACAAACTGTGCGCACGTAGAGACAGGGATACGACGGATGCCCTTCCTTTCTCCTGACTCTAAAATTGGTTTCTTGTGTGGTCCTGTGGTTTTTGGGCTTAGCGGCTGTGCTTTACTTTCGGAACTGTCACGTCGAACGATGCAAGGCAAAGAAAACAGCTTCCGCATCAGTAGAACGCCACAACGTGATTATCGACTGTTCTGCGGGAGTAAATTCAGGCCTATAAAAAATAAAAACCTTTAGTCCATCGTAGGGTGAGAGGAAGTTTCGTATTGTCCTTTGGCCTTTAGTCCTACGATGGACTAAAGGCCAAAGCCACGGACCACCATGTCCAATCACTTTCCACGCTATACTATGACACGCTTAACATTGATTAGGGATGGACGAATAATGCTTGAATCCAAAAAGCGCCACATCATTTCTATAGCTCCGAAGCTGCAAACGGCCTATATGTCGTGGCTTTCTTTGCGATGTAAAATTGTTGAGTCACTCAGTGCTCTTCGATTCGAACCACCTGTTCGCCCGTCCCCTCATTCATCAGTGATCCGAGACGCGGGCACCGATACGTGCATCGAAGCGAAATACCGCACAATTTCTAAGTGGCTCGTGATTGGATCTGGCGGTCCGTAGCTTCTGCCATTAGTCCATCGTAGAGTGAGACGAAGTTTCGTATTGTCTGCTGTTTCAAGAGGAGCTCACTGTCACCTACATACCTAACATAAGACAATCAGACAGCCTGAGTTGGACTTATGTCACAAGGGCTTTCTAATTGTCGTACCTCAACGCTGCGACCGTATGACAGCGTCAATCAAGGCCCGTTTGCTCGAAGCGCGGTTAAGCGCTAACC